TCAGGTGGGTCCAGGTCGGTGGTGCAGTGCGGCTAAGGTAGGCTCCCTGCCTGCTCTGGCTCCACGCTGTTCCTGGAAGTGGCTGGCATGTCCGACCCCTAGGTGGAGGCGCAGCCAGGCAACTGCGTGCTTCCCGGCCAACGGGAGCTGCAGAGCTGGCTTTTGGGGTGGGGTCAGCATGTGAAGCTTCCCTGGCTACCCTTGTGCCTAGGGGCCCGCAGGGACATGCCGGCTGCTTCCGGGAGCTGCACGGAGCCACAGCAGGCAGGGAGCCTGCCTTAATCCTGCTGTACTGCTGACTGGACTTTTGATGGCTCAGCAGTGCTGAGCGGAGCTGCCAGGGTCCCTTTTTGACTGGCCATTCAGGTCAAAACCAGGGCACCTGGCAACCCTACTCACAGGGCCTCTATAGATTCTGGCCCATCTGTATCTTTGGTGGAGTGATGTGTGGGTATGAGACCAAGGATCTTAGGGGAACATGCGGCTCAGTCAAAGCCTCCAGATTCCAGTGCTTGAGGGCGAGGGAGGGTTTGAAGAGTCTCTACTGTCCCCTTTTCCAATGTCTTGGGGGAAGGAATGCTTCAGTCCCATTTGTTCCCTGTCCCCAGCTGACAGCTCCTTTTAAAAGTTCTAGGCCAGGATTTATATTGCTATGATTGTCCCTTATGCCGATTGGAAAATCCTTATGGGGTAGTTCCATTTGAATGAGAAGTCAGTGACAAGAAGTTGGAGTAACCTTGGTGTAATCCATTTATTTACTGAAATATACACAAAGTCCTGTTTCTCTGAACAGCAGAGGAATATACAGCAGACCAGCTTTTGCAGAAATTCTAAGCTAGATATTCCAGCCTGGTATCCAAGAAGCCTCTGTTTTCTTATGATGTTCCACACAACACTTTTAAGGCTCTTACAGAGACCACAAACTGTCTCCTGAAGCATAACACAAAGTCTCTCCAAATATTGTTTGCTAGATGCTTAACACTGTTTTGGATTCAGTGCCCTGCTCCATATGTGCAGCCTTACAACACAAAGGGGCTTCAGCTGAGTGCTTGACCCACACCAGCATCAGTGACCCTCTGGATGCAACAATTTTACACCATCTCATCTTTCTGTGGACAGATTAGTCATATGTGATTATATCAACAACCTTTATTGGGCAGCCCTTAGCCCCTTTCATAGCTAGGGGGTTGCACACTATATAGCTTCTATAGGCTGAATGGATTGCACACACTGGTGTTCCTTACATTCCTCCAATCCTCCTCCCCACATCCACCAAGTAACCTGAATTCCACTCTCCCATCCCCTGCTGCAATTCCCCTCTGACTCATGCCAAGGGCTGTGTGTGGCCCATCTCCCACGCCCCCTATCATTGTTCCCCATTCTCTCCCCCATGCTAGGGGCTCTGAATGCATCCCCAATCCTCCCACCCCCCCCATTCCCTTTTTCTGCCCCCAGTCAATTTTGTTAGAAAAGAGATTTCCCCTGTGAAGGGTAAACAGTGTTTCTGCCTTTGTCCAGTATTGAGTTTTGACCAGGAAGATGACCAGCTTTAATTTACACGAATGTTCCAAATTGGATCTTTTTAATAGCTTCTTCAGGGAGTGGTTGAATCAGGGTGGATCTGAGCTGCCTTTGGGTGCCAGCATTACCCACTTTTGATATTGCTCCCCATTCATGTGTAGAGATACAACCGCTTAATAAAAGCTGGTGTAGTTTCAATCCCTAAGGCCCTTGCTGAAGCAATCCAGTGAAAGTCCTCCTTCCAGCACCTATGCCATGGTTGACTCATTGGTTAGGTCTTAAAAATATGTTTCTTATGTGCCTGCCTCCTTATAGCTAAGCCATACAATTAGCCATTTTAAAGGCAAGATATAATGGAATGATACTTGTTAGTATTCAATCTTAATCTTTTTATTTTATGGACTGTGGTAGATGTCTGCATAGCCTGCATGCACTGCCTGTTTGCCTGTTGGAAACAGAGTTTCCTCTCCGCTCTCCCATATGAAATGAGTTAGGCAAGTGGGAATGGTGCCTTCAGTTTCACTGGCTAACACAAAGACATAATCCACCAACAAATACATCATATTCCTGTTTAGTTTAGTAGACACATGCTGTAGCAGTATCACAATACTTCTTCCATCATCTTCCCAGCCGCAGGCTGGATTGAACGGCAAAGGTATTTTCATCAAAAGTGATCCTGTCAGTGGCATTTTATGGCACTTCTCAGCAGCACAGCAAATCATGAATGGGCCTTTTTTGAAGTAATTCCTGTCAGTTACTGGCAACTTCAAAACTGTCATCTTCATGCATCTTCAAACTGACAGGCTGATTGAAATTGTGCCTGTTGGCAAATTTGAAAATACTCAGGACAGGCAACCGAATAACATGCTGGGTATAGTGACTCACTTTTACCAGCATTTCTGAAAGGATTTTATAAAACACCTACCTTTATTTTGTAACTGAACACTGAGATTGCATATTAACCAGAATGCATTGTGCAAGGGCTAGTGTACCAAATTTAGTTCATGATTTGCTATGAAATTCTCACTCCAACAGTAAAACTTCATGTCAGGCACAGGTCCCTTATTTATGTGACTGCATGGTACTGTATCTAAGGTACTTATATGGCCTCCATCAACATTATATCTGAGTGCTTCACAATCTTTAATAATTTTATCCTTACAACCCTGTGAGGTAGGGAAGTGCATTTAACAGTGGGGAACTGAGGCAGAGAGACTAAGGGTTGTGCCCAAGGTCACACAGGAAGTCTGTGACAGAGCAATGAATTGAACCTCGGTCTCTCAAATACTAGGCTAGTACCCTAACTACCCTAAACCATCCTTCCTGTCTTACTCAGCTACATAATGGGCCATGTTTGAAAAACCTAAATGATTCCACATGGAGGGCCCCTACCATGGTCCCTGTCAAAGTTCCTTCCCCCCTCTGAACTCTAGGGTACAAATGTGGGGACCTGCATGAAAACCTCCTAAGCTTACTTTTACCAGCTTAGGTTAAAACTTCCCCAAGGTACAAATTAATTTTACCCTTTGCCCTTGGATTTCCACTGCCACCACCAAACTTTATCTGAGTTTACTGGGAAACGTAGTTTGGACACGTCTTTCCTGGAGAAGGTTTGGTAAAAATCCTCACCAATTTGCCTAGGTAACCACAGACCCAAACCCTTGGATCTTAGAACAATGAAAAAGCATTCAGTTTTCTTACAAGAAGACTTTTAATAAAAATAGAAGTAAATAGAAATAAAGAAATCCCCCCTGTAAAATCAGGATGGTAGATACCTTACAGGGTAATTAGATTAAAACAAAGAATCCCTCTAAGCAAAACCTTAAGTTACAAAAAAGACACACAGACAGGAATAGTCATTCTATTCAGTACAGCTCTTTTCTCAGCCATTTAAAGAAATCATAATCTAACACATACCTAGCTAGATTACTTACTAAAAGTTCTAAGACTCCATTCCTGTTCTGTCCCCGGCAAAAGCAGCATACAGACAGACACAGACCCTTTGTTTTTCTCCCTCCTCCCAGCTTTTGAAAGTATCTTGTCTCCTCATTGGTCATTTTGGTCAGGTGCCAGCGAGGTTACCTTTAGCTTCTTAACCTTTACAGGTGAGAGGATTTTTCCTCTGGCCAGGAGGGATTTTAAAGGGGTTTACCCTTCCCTTTATATTTATGACAGTCCCATTACATTGGGAATTTTGCTGTTGACTTCATGGGGACTACCAGAGGGCCCAATGGAGCAAACTCTCTCAGCTGCTACTGTCTTTGTGAATTCCTGGAAAAGCATTAAGAGTGAAATAAATCAATGGCAAAGCTTTCTTTGAAAGGACCAGGATTCCACCCTACATATTTAGTAGGCAAAGTTATTGGGCCTGATTCTCCTGCCACTGACACCAGTTTAAAACTAGTGTAATTCCACTGACTTCAGTAGAAGTATTCCTGACTGACACCAGGGTGAGAGGAGAATTAGCTCCATTACATTTATTCTAAAGTTATAGTACATAGGTGAGCTGAACTGCATTCAGTTTTGCAATTTGCGGCTTGCACTCAGACCTAGAGTCTAATCTCATATCTCCTTAATCTTACAGTGTCATATTTTATAATTTTTATTACTTCTTAGTTGTATTGCAGCAGCAGCTAAAGGCACCAATCAGGAGCAGGGCCCATTTGTGCCAGGCACTGTACAAACACGTAGAAAGACACAGCCTTTGCCCTGACATGCTTGCAATCTAACCAAGGGCAAGATGCGACAAGTGGCTGTGAAAAATAACTGGAAGGAGAGGGGAGGGAGGATGAGGGCAGTACACTTCAGCTAGAGTGCCTTTGCAATTTGTTGTTGTAATAGGGGAAGTAGTTGACATATTTTATACTTAATAATACTTCATATTTTTTCTACTTTTATTGGGGTAAGTCACATATTAAGTCTGAAGCCAAATTACTGACATACACACAACTTCCACTGACTTCTGAGAGAGCTACACACGTGTAAAGAACTATAGAATCAGGTACATTACATAGAGCTAGATTTTAATGTTGTAATACAAGTATTGTGAATAGAGACAATGTGTTCTATGTGTTTTTATTGAATTGTACATAATAAATTTAAATCACATCCATATATCTAGAATTACATTGAAAAGCAGCCTTGCTTAACATTCTTAAAACACACAATTGTGTCTTATTACATTTATATTTTTGTTTGGTTGAATGGTCCCATTTTCTGTTATTGTGGAAGACATTCTGGGTGGTTGTTTTTTCCTGATTCTACCTCCTATTTTCCAGATGTGTAATGATTGAATCAGGAGCAAAGAGATCTATGTTTAAATTGCATATCTCTAATTTCTATGATCAATTTTCTACTCTTTGCCCTAGAGCATGTAACATGCAGATGTTAGCCATTCCGGGGTTTCTTTTTGTATAGAACCATAAAAGTACTTTTTTTCATTTTGAAATGATTCCTCCCCTCTCAACCAAGGAGTACCAATCTGACCATGAAGGTTGGTGTGATTAACACCCATCGCTCCTATATAAATGTTCCCAGACTGGCAGTACAGAATGCTGATGCGGGCGTTGGAAGGATAGAGAATAGAAACAGGAGGTAAGTCAAGTATACTAAGTAGGTCAAATTCTGCTCTCGGGATTTTTTAATTTTTATTAGTTTGCATGAGAGTGACAGGAGACAGATGTCTGTCCCTGTCTTAGTGTCTTTCCTCTTCCATTCATAAGAAGTTTAGCTTTTAACCAACCTGTGATACATTGCCCATTGTAATTAATTAGGATAAGGTAAAATGTGACTATATTTGTTAGTCAAATTATTTGGCTTCCTTAAAAATGAGTTCAGCTAGTCAAAAAATAACTTGGTAATGACTATTTGAGTGTTTCACCATCCTGCAAAGTGGCTCATGCCTTGCGTTGGGACAATACTGTAAAAAATATAGTTGTGAGTAAATCCCACTTCGCTGGCATTCACAACCCTTTTTATTGGATTATTTGTAGACGTTCAACTGAGCCACTTTTTATTACCAAGAAAGTCCACTAAAAGCTAAGCAAGATGAATACTATTCTGAATAAATATTTGTGAGCATTAAACACTGGGAAAACCATTTTTAAAAACTTTTTTGCAGAAAACCACTACACAGTTACAAATGTTTGTAGATAAATTTTACACACAGAAAAGGGGATTCTTTCAAGTTTCTAAAGCTTAGTTCATCAAAGCAGGGAACTGAAATAATATCCTGTGACTCAGATGATTGATCATATAGCAAAAAAAAAGTGAATAACAAGTTGTGACTGCTCAGGGGCTAATACTTTCATATTTGTCTGTCCAAATTTAGACGACTCAATCCATGTTTTGGTTTCTAAATAAAAAGTATTCTGATATTCCGAGGTGCTGAACACCCAGAGCTCCCACTGAAGTCAAATTGTAGCCTAATGGTTTGTTTACAGACTGGTCACTGTGGCCACATTTTTCAAACCTGGGTGCCTAAAGTCCAGGCATCTAAGTTTAGACAAATAAAAGTGGCCTGATGAGCACCTGCAGAAAGTCCTATTGATTTCAATGGGAGTTACAGGTTTTCAGCACAAAATTGTGCTTGCAAGTTTTGCTTGAGGAATATCTAACTAGACAATTTGCATGTACAATGCACGTCTGGTGTATCTGCAATTTTGGAGGCTGGTTTAAATAATTGGCTCACAAAACAGGTGAATTTTAAAGTTAAATGAAAAGTGTGCTAAAGCCAGAAATGTGTGCTCAGAGCTGCCATTTACAGGCTGTAGCATTCAACAGACATTCAACAGGGCATTCAACAGACATGTTAACTTAATTTGGTAAAACTGCTATTCCCTCTGTTATGAAATCCACTTTCTAGTTCACTAAAGAATGCATCATGGATTGCATGGGAACATCCTATAACCAAGTAAGGTACACTGATACAGGGGTACATTTTCCTTAATCCTTAACCCTGCAAAGATTTTGCGTGCGCTTAACTTTACACATGTGGGTAGTCCCACTGACTTTCCAAGGTTGGGGCCTTAGGTTTGTTCATTTCTGCAGGGTCAGGGACTATGTAGGGACAGGTACTGAAAGTTATTCTGTGTTTTGTAGAGTTCCCAGCACAGCACACTCTCAATTCTTAACAAATAACAAAAGTCCATACCAAAAAATAATGTTAATGCAACTTTAAGGTTTAGAGATAAAACACATAAGTAAATCATGCCTGGGAACCACTATTTATGAATTGTTTCAGAGTAACAGCCGTGTTAGTCTGTATTCGCAAAAAGAAAAGGAGTACTTGTGGCACCTTAGAGACTAACCGATTTATTTGAGCAGCTGTAGCTCACAAAAGCTTATGCTCAAATAAATTGGTTAGTCTCTAAGGTGCCACAAGTACTCCTTTTCTATTTATGAATTGTTGCTGTAGTACAGTAGATAATTTCTTCATTGTACATACTGTTTAATTATAGGTCTCTGGCTGAAGTGTATGATAGTTCATCCATATTACAAACACAGGAGCATGGGGACAGCTGCCCTGGTTATTCTTCCACAAACAACTCACAGGCAGTGAAAGGAGTGCTACAGAGGTGAGGTACATCCCAGGAATCCATGTTTAGCACAGGGTACCTACATATTTATGTGTTTACCTCTCCATGGATCCATTTATTTACACAAGTTTAGTGGTGATATTTTGGTAATCTTTCTCATGTTTAAAACATCGATTTTAAGGGGACATTCTTGAGTTTATGATTAAAACTTGACATATATACATTATTTTTGGAAGGAAATGCCCTGAAATCAAAGCAACTGAGAAACTCTCAGCACTATTCACTAGTTATATGAAGCTTATGGCATGGTGCCAAATTTGTTTCTGATAATTAATTATACCAATAATTATTGTATTAGCACCTAGAAGCCCCAACCCAGGTCAAGGCCCCATCGCGTTAGGCACCATACATACACATCATTAGTAAGAAACAGTCCCTGCCCAAAAAGTCTCTTCACCTTTGTCTTTTCCCATCATTTGGGGTTGGCAGCTCTTGTTCTGTGTTTCCAAATATTTTTGTAAAGTGTGTCTTCCAAGCTGACACCAACCTTCTTCATATCTTCCTTCAGCATCTCAAACCACCTTTTTCGGGGTCTTCCTTGTGGTCTTTGTCCCATCTCTAATAGCTCTTCTACTCTCTGGTCAACATATCCCACATCTCTGCCCCCAAAAGAGTATACAATCTAAAGACAAGACAGACAAAGTTTGGGAGAAAGTTGGGAAACTGAGTCACAGAGAGATTAAGTGACTCACTCAAGGTCACAAAGTCAGTCCATGATCGCACTGGAAATCGAACTCTGATTTCTTTTGTCCCAAGATTTGGGGCAGGGACTGTACAGTACTTAGCACACTGTGGTCCTGCACTATGATTGGGGCACCTAGGTGCTGCTGCAATACGAACAGTAAAATAAATAATAATAATGCAGTACCTTAATCACAAGACCATTCTTCTTCTCTCTAATAAGGACAGTTGCTCCAGGGAGGATTTTGGCTTGTGATTTTTAAATATTTTGTTTACTGCAGAATCAGCCAGTCAACAAAGGGAGCACTAGTTAACCAAAGGCAATTAAAAAAACAAGCAATCTATCTGATTGCTGTGGTGAGCTGACATCACTGTTATTATCATCAGTGATGCTGATACACAAATAAGGAACAAAACCCACAATTTTTTCCCACTGAAAATACACAAGAAAAATACGTATTCCAACTGTAAAAGGGCAAAATTCATAGGACAAGTAATCTTATTTTCAGGCTTTTAAGTGAGAATTACAAACAATGCAATATAATAAAACAGTGTGGAGTGACTTAAATCAAAGTGAGTTAAATCACAGATTTTAATCAGCAAGAAGAAAACCTTAATTTAAATCAGTTGTCATGTTGTTTTGAATTTAAACTTTTTAGTTATTTTCTTAAAGAAAGGTTGGTAACTATTAAAACATGTTGATTTGCAACTAAATATAGGTTTTACACTAAATTTGATACTTCTTTTTGCTAACCAGGAGGATACATTATATCTAAACAAATTAATGTAAGCAATTATATAGCATAACATACATATATACATATAGCTTCTTAATTTTTACATTTTTTACTATGTTAGAAATAATGAATAACGTTTCTTATTTATTAGATGATTAACTTTTTTTTACTTGTGATTTGTATCAAGCTGAATTTGGATGGAAATGATAATTCAATTAAAATTTACAAACCAGCATTTTAAAATGGTTTGATAGCTAACTGAAACTACCTTAAATATGGTTTTCATGATGAAAGCTTATGCTCTAATAAATGTGTTAGTCTCTAAGGTGCCACAAGTACTCCTTTTCTTTTTACCTTAAATATGTTGGATACATAATAAAAGTTTATCAAAACATATTTTTGCATTTAAAACTAACTGATTTATTAAACAAAGGAAGTATTATCTGCTGTTCGTGAACTGAATTAATTGTTTCTGGTCATCACATCCTCCACAATTTTAGAACTAGTATATCTCATCCTCTCACACATCATAGATTGGAAGAGAAAAAGAAGCTTTCCTGCTCTTTCAACTCCTAATCTATTTCTCAATTTTGATTCAACTAGTCATTAAACTGAACTAGTGGAATAAACTGAAATGAAGAAAATATTCTCCTTGCACTTGCAGAAGAGGCTATTGCAGTCAAAAACTGGTTTAGCACTTCAACAAACTTTGGTTTCAGGTGCTTAACCAATGACTTTCATCAGTTCAGTGGTTTGACTTTCTTTAAAATTTTGGCAGCAAACATGTACTGCTTGATTTTTTAAAATATAATTTTAGCAACTTTAACAGATTTTAGTAAATTTAGGCCATAATAGAGGATGAGATAATTTCAAATTTAATTTTAAGTAGGTTTAATTTGAAAAATTAAAATGTATTAATATACATTTTTTAGAAATCAGAGTTTTTTTAATTGATTTGTATTCAGCCTGTAAGAAAAGTATTTAAAAACTGAAATAATGAAACTATACTCAGATCTCTCTATTTAGTTTTCTCTAAGCCTATCCTGTCACTGTGATATCTAAACTAGACAGTATCAATTTAAAATATTTGTTCATATAAGGAGAAAATTAAACTTAAGCTGATATACTACTGACAGATTTATTTTCAACTTTTCTGTTTTAGTTGCCATAACATTTAACACAACATGGAAAAATTACTGGAGAGAAACGTTGCTCTGATAGTCTTCAAGCTAGTAATATTGAGTGCAAGGGTCCTATGATATTCAACACTTGATCTATATTATGTGCCAGGGTCCTTGGTATCTTTGGTGCATAGAAGAATAAAATTATACTATTATGGCATGGGAAATTCTGACTACTATGGCATGTAAAAGTGTTCACTGAATTAAAAATTAAAATAACAGCATCAACACCATTATACTTAGTTCAATAACAATTAGAATGTTTAACCATGTATTTCATACAGTCACAAAATTTACACCTTGCCTCAGAATTCAGGGCTAACACATTGGAAATACAGTAGAATCTCAGCGTTATGAACACCAGAGTTACGAACTGACCAGTCAACCATACCTCATTTGGAACCAGAAGTACACAAGAATGCAGCAGCAGAGACACCTCCCCCCCCGCCCGAAAAAAAGCAAATACAGTATAATACTATCTTAAACATAACCTACTTAAAAAAAATAAAGGAAAAACAGTATTCTTCTTCTGCATAGTAAAGTTTCAAAGCTGTATTAAGTCAATGTTCAGTTGTAAACTTTTGAAAGAACAACTGTAACATTTTGTTCAGAGTTACAAACAACCTCCATTCCCGACGTGTTCGTTCTTTGAAGTTCTCTAATGGGGGCCTTGTTTTAGGATGTAAGTCCAGTGTGCCACCCACAGAATACACTGATCTACACTCTGCTCCCCTAGGTGCTGGTAAGGCAAAAGGCTCTACAATCTCTCCTGCTGATGGAATGAGGTGTTGTGGCTCTCTTTCCCCTCCTACTGGTAAATGAGGCAGGTGGGAGAGGACTCCACCTACTGGGAGCTGTGTCATCCATCAACCTGGCTTCTGGGAGGAAGTTATGAAATTCTCTTTTACTTAAAAGGAATTTTTACTAAGTGAAGGAGTTTGTGTGGGTTCTTCAGGTCCCACCCCTGCAGCTGGTGACTTTCTCTTCTGTGTATGTGTGTGGGCAATATTATTAGCTCATCTCTTGCTGTCCCCCTGAATTCAGTGATTTTTTTCCCTGTCCCATAGGCGCAAGGAAGGATGGAGGTATTGTGACTCCCCACTTCCACAGTCTGGCAGCTCTTCCTCTTCTGGATCTGTCTGATTTGTACAAAGCCATCCATCCTCACTCTGCATGGTGAATGAAATCTACAGTGAAAGTTACATATGTGCAAATGCATTGTGACATTTGGGTTTCCTACAAAGGTTTTTTTTTTCCTCCACAAAGAAATTAAGCTTTTTAAAAATATTAACTAATATTTCTATCTATTTTTAGAATATCCAACTTTTTGGTTACTTTAAAATACTGGAAGAAGAGGGTTTCTGATGAAGGCTGCCAAACCTCAGACTCTTTCTTGGAAAAAATCCAAGGTCCACAGCTAAGATGGAGCAATAATTTTAATAATCAGAATCTCTGTGGTGAGATATCAGAAGAAATCATGTGAGTTTTGTGCTCCTTGTATGGGGTATATGTCAAATCTTTGACTGTGTCCATATGGTCCTGTTTATGTGGATTTTTATCTGCTTGTTTTTGTATCTCACTTTATGCCACAAAACAATTTTATTTTATCTAATTTCAGTAAAATCTATTTTGATTAGGGGCAACATTAATGTTCACGGCCTAGATTTAAAACGCAGGCACCTTGATAACACAACCAGATTCCCTACCTGAGCATTCAGTATGCTCAGTCATAAAAATATGGTTCAGTTTGAATGTCTAAACATGAAATACCCTAGGAGGCTATGAAGACACCTGCAGTTTAAAACCAAAATCCATGTGATCAGGCATTTAACAGGGCAAACATCAACGGTAAAATCCTGATTCCACTGAAGTCAATGGCAAAATTCCTCATGGCTTCAATGGCACCAAGATTTCACCCCTTTTCTTTTCAGAAGTGTTGAAACTCCAAGAAAGGAAAACAGAGACATAATCAACATTTCAGTGGTTTTCTTCATCTCTGTACTTAACTGGTGAATATTTTCATTCTAAACTTATCAAACCAGTTAGGCAATCTTAACTAACTTATGCAGCTGTAAATCTTACATTAAAAGACTGGTTTACAAGTACTAGCCTATTTAGTGTCATGCAGCAGATATAACTATTTTATTTTGCTGTTTCTTAGGGAACATTACCTACCTAGTGCCATTGCACAGTACAATATCAACAACAACAGTAATAAAGATGAGTAAGTACTCTACAGTTTCACTATAAAGTTATATATATTGTAGAGAATAGTAAGAAAAAAAGCAATATACCTAGTTCTTTCCTTGCAAATTATTGCAGCATCATACAAGACATGTACATCTGAACTATATGCACAGCAAATGTTTTTCAAACACAAAAGTTCTTAGTGTCCTGTTTAATCATGTAAAAATGGAAATAGTTGAAAACTATAAACAAAGGTTTTATTCAAAGGCCAAAATCTTAAGCATAATGTTAGACTTATAGAACTCAGCTGATTTTAACAGGAAAAATAGTGGAAATAATAGTTATATGCATCCCAAGAGCCAATCACAGAGATATTGTTTCTTTTTTAGGGAGAAACAGAAAAAAGAAAAGAAGGGGTAAGACATAATATTACATTTTAGAAGATAGTTTCTTTACAAGCTATCATTCTAGTTTTTCTGTAAAACCATAACATTTTAATCCATTGTTTCAGCAAGTCTGATGGTAAAAAGGAAAAGAAAAAGGACACAGAAATGCAAAAGAACAAGGAAAAAAAGGAAAAACACAGAAATAAAGATAAGCATAAGAAGAAAGACAAGAAAGAGGAGTAAGTGTTCTTCATTTGGTTTCAAAATAGTGTTATGTTCTTCTAGTAAAATTGCCTTGCCTGCACAACTGAATCCAGTCATGGGTATTGTCATAAATATAAAGGGAAGGGTAAACACCTTTAAAATCCCTCCTGGCCAGAGGAAAAACCCTTTCACCTGTAAAGGGTTAAGAAGCTAGGATAACCTCACTGGCACCTGACCAAAATGACCCATGAGGAGACAAGATACTTTCAAACGCTGGGGGGAGGGAAAAACAAAGCCTCTCTCTCTCTGTCTGTGTCATGCTTTTGCCAAGGACAGAACAGGAATGGAGTCTTAGAACTTAGTAAGTAATCTAGCTAGATATGCGTTAGATTCTGTTTTGTTGAAATGGCTGAGAAAATAAGCTGTGCTGAATGGAATGGATATTCCTGTTTGTGTGTCTTTTTGTAACTTAAGGTTTTGCCTAGAGGGATTCTCTATGTTTTGAATCTAATTACCCTGTAAGGTATTTCCCATCCTAATTTTACAGAGGTGATTCTTTTTATTTTTTCTTCTATTAAAATTCTTCTTTTAAGAAACTGAATGCTTTTTCATTGTTCTTAAGATCCCAGGGTTTGGGTCTGTGGTCACCTATGCAAATTGGTGAGGATTTTTATCAAACCTTCCCCAGGAAAGGGGGGGTAACGTTTGGGAGGATTTTGGGGGGAAAGACGTTTCCAAACAGACTCTTTCCTAATAATACTGGTTAGACGTTTGGTGGTGGCAGCAAAAGTCCAAGGGCAAAAGGTAAAATAGTTTGTACCTTGGGGAAGTTTTAACCTAAGCTGGTAAAAGTAAGCTTAGGAGGTTTTCATGCAGGTCCCCACATCTGTACCTAGAGTTCAGAGTGGGGAAGGAACCTTGACAGGTATACTGCAAGCATGTTGTGTATGTTAGCCCTAGATAAGTGAATATGCTGACCACTGTTAGGTCTTGTATGTTCATGAAGTTGTTCCTGATTAATTCCATGTGTGGACACTCTTATTCCAGAATAAGAGTGCCTTGTCTCTGTTAAGCTTAAATCCTAAACAGGAACAAGGCACAGGCTATGTCTACACTGCGCACCTTATAGCAGCACAGTTGTGCTGGTACAGCCGCGCCATTATAGTCGCTCCTTGTCGACGGGAGAGAGCTCTCCTGCCAACAAAATAGAATACCCCCAATGGAGGGCGGTAGCTTTGTCACTGGGAGAGAATCTTCTGCCAACATAGCGCTGTCCACACTGGCACTTTTCCTTAGTAAAACTTTTGTTGGTCAGGGCTGTTTTTTTTCCACTCTAAGGTCTCCTGTGTAGCCTGCTCTATGTCGAGGGGAGAGAGCTCTCCTATCAGCATAATTAAACTACCCCCAACAAGTGGCGGTAGCTATGTTGGTGGGAGAGTGTCTCCCACTGACATAGCGCTGTCCACATTGGTGCTTCTGTTGGTGAAATTTATGTCGCTTAGGGGGTGTTTTTTTCACACACCTGACCATAGGCAGCACATAATGGAGGCTGGGGTAGGCAATATCTCCCCAAACCTTGCGCCGCCCGGGGGGGAAGTGGGGAGCAGTGACAGATTACTGCACGGGCCTATAGAACCCATTCCCAGGGGCCCCAGCCAATTTGAGGCCCCCAGAAAAATCTCCTCCCACCACAGCCCCAGGACTGGAGGAGATCTGACTCCCTGCTAGGGCCACAGAGCTTTTCCAGTCTTGGGGCTGCAGCGGGGTGTGTCTGGAAAGGAGTGAGCTGGGGGCAGGGCCTTGGGGGGAAGAGACAGAGTGGGAGTGGATTGGGGGAGGGACTGAGAGTGGAACAGGGACAGGGTGGCAGGAGAAGGAATGAGATGTGGGAGGGGCTTGGAGCTCTGCCGTTGCGGTCCCTGGCCATGAGGGAGGAGCTCCACGCTCTCAGCCCACCTGTGAGAAGTGAGAAGGGGTGTGGCCTTGGCCAAAAGATGTAGGACAGGTTGCTAGCCCATGTCCCTGCTAGCCCATGTTCACCTGCTGCCCATGTCCCTGACTGACAGAAGTGCTAGTGTAGACATAACCTTATTCTAGAACTGGAGAGTCTAAGTGTGTCTTGTTTCTTTTTAGGGGTTGAGCTAAACAGAGACAAGGCACTCTTATTCCAGAATAAGAATGTCCATACATGAAATTAATCAGCAGAACTCCATGTGTAGAATCTCTTATGTATAGACCAAGCCCTTTATGTATTTAAATTCTTCCATCCACTTAAGTCAGGCCATTTTCATAGCTATTACCACTCCTTCTGCAAGACAGAGTGTTACTGTTCCACTTAACAGCAGGGTGTAATTTCAAATCAAATGAAATTTGAATATATGGTATATAGATTTTGGTAACCTGTTTTAGTTTAAAAGTCTAAATATCCCAGTACTGTATTTTCAGAATCTTGATAACTTCACTATTACTAAACTCAACAGTGAATAGATAATCGTACACGGAGACACATGCAGTAGATCTAATATACCAGGATTTCAGTTAAGCATTTGATACAGCTCCACAGGAGAAATTAGTTAAATTGGAGAAGATGGGGATTAATATAAGAATCAAAAGGGTTGTAAGGAACTAGTTAAAGGGAAGATTGCGACAGGTTATGCTAAAAGATGAAATGTCACGTGGGAAGGAGGTTTCCAGTGGAGTTCCTCAAGGATCAGTCTTGGGTCCAGCCTTATTTAACATTTTCATTAATAGCCCTGGCACGAAAAGTGGGAATGTGCTAATAAAAATTGCAGATGAGACAAAGTAGGAGGGTACTGCCAATATAGGAGGAGGACTGGAACATCATACAAGAAGATTTAGATGACCTTGAAAACTGGAATATTAGAAATGGGATGAAGTTTAGTAGTGCAAAGTGTAAGGTCATGCACTTAGGGAAGAACAAGAAGAATTTTTGCTATCAGTTGGAAGACCTTGGAGTACTAGTTGATCAGAGGATGACTATTAGCAACGAATTTGATGTGGCTGTGAAAAATGCTAATGCTATCTGAGGATGCATCAGTCAAGATATTTCCAGGAAAGATAGGAAAGTGTTATTACCATTATACATGGGACTGATGAGACATCATCTGGAATACTGTGTACAATTTTGGTCTCCCATGTTTAAGAAAGATGAATTCAAATTGGAACAGGTGCAGAGAAGGGCTACTTGGAAGATCAGAGGGATGGAGAACCTCCCTTATGAGAGAAGACTTAAGGGGCTTGGCTTGTTTAGCCTAACAAAACAAAGGCTGAGGGGAGATATGGTTGCTTTTTATAAATACATCAGATGGATAAAGGCCAGGAAGGGAGAGGAGCTATTTCAGTTAAGGGCCTGTGCTGGCAAAAGAACAAATGGATATAAACTGGCCAACAATGAGTTTAGACTTGAAATTGGACAAACCATCAGAAGTTTTGAAACAGCGTTCAAAGGCTAATATTGACCAAGAGGAAAATCAAGAAAGAGAGACTACAGGAATGGAGAAAGGAACACCAGTGGGTAGGATATTAAGAGGAAAGACAGTGCCAATACCAATGGTGCTAATTGTCAGGCAGGCGATACCGGTAGTAGAATGACTGTACCTACTCAGTTGAGGAATCTGGGTGAAGCTAAGCAGAAACAACTAAGATGTCTGTGAACCAATGCAAGGAGCCTGGGTAACAAAATGGAAAAACTAGAACAACTGGTGCAGGAAGTGACACCAGATATTATAGGGATAACAGAAATATGGTGGAATAGTGGTCATGACTGGAGTACAGGTATTGAAGGGCATGTGCTGTTCACGAAAGGCAGAAATAAAGGTCGAGGTGGTAGACCGAGTATTACAGAAAATACAAACCTATACACCATTCTGATAGCTTTGCAAAACTGTCTTTGTTTGTGTTTGTGTATGTTTTACCACTTAGTGTTATCATTTACCTTTGCATGTGTTTTTACTATTGTATTGTATATAATGAATGTACTGAAATTTCTCTGCATGTCGTGTAAAGAATAATTGGGCCAGTTTCTGGCTGCTGTTGTGTGAGTGTGTAAAGGGGGAAGAGAGCACCTCCACTTGCTCATTTGTGCAGGGGGCAGCCAAAACTGTGATGCTTGTGCTTCTGAGGGAAAGTAAGAGAGCTCCAAAGGAGGCATGATGGAGTATGGCTATACCCTTGCTCCTTTTCCACCAGTAGCTGGACAACCAGGGTGAGTGGTGGGAGAAGTACAAACTGCACCATTAAAGGATGCACTAAATGCTGCTCTATGGTGCACTGTGGCAATGCCCTCAAACAGTATTTTTATCTGTTTGTGTTTTCCACGGGCAAAATGCCTCCAGGAACTGCAACTGGTGCAGTGTCCAATTACACTTATTATGGAAGTGGCTACTAATGCCACTCTGACTCTTTATTGTTTTACATTTATCTATTAATTAGATTTATATAAATGCTGAAAAGGGCACCTAGCTATACACCTAAAAGGCATCAAACTATTTCAAGAGAACTGAAGTGAAGCAGTACAATTCAGTATGACTGAGCACCAGCAAACCACGCAACTTAAGAACTCAAACCCCCTTCCCCTCCGGTCCAGCAATTACCTTCTTTTCAAATACCTGGGGAGTAGAGAGGAGCTTTACAGTATGCTCTGAAGCTCATCAGATTCAGGCTTTCCTGAAGCAACGTGGGGAGTGAATTCCTAAGCTGTGGGTCCCTCAGAGAGAATGACCCATCAGCAGCCCAATATATAACACCAGGCTTCAGTTCTGGCACTTCTGCTGTTCTCTGCTATGGTATTTTAGCATGAGGAGAGAAGTGGTCTCTCATTTAGGTAGCGCCTGAGACATAAATGTTCACTGGTCAAAACCGATTCCTTAAACTTCACCTGAAGCTCTACAGGCAGCCAGTGCAGAGATTGGAGCACTTGTCGAATGATTACGATCCCAGTGAGATCCTCCACTGATCAAACAGGCTGCTGTATTCTCTACAAGCTTCAGCTGATATTGAGTGCAGTGCAGTAATTCAGTCTTGAGATGATAAAGACAGGAATGACCGTCACAATGACTTCTTCCAAAAGGAACATGCACATTCTCCTAACTATACAGAAATGATAAAAATGTGATTTGACTCTTGCTGCTACCTGATTTTCTAGTAGCAGTTGGAAATCCAGCCAGACGATTGGAAACCTAACCAACAGGTAGAAGAGGTGCCCTCCATTAAAAGGAGAGGTATTCTTGCCACATATTCTTGTTGCTTCTTCCCAAAAGTATCACCACCTCAGTCTTGACTGGGATGAATGTCAACTATCTAGCTGTCATCCGTGCCCCAATTTCACACACATATTAAACTCATTGAGCATTTTAATTGGTCACATGAAATGGTGACAAAGCTGCATGTCATCACCATACTGGAAATGATGCAGTCCTTGTCTCCTTGTTAACCCTCTCAGTAATGCCACACAAATATTGAATAAGAGCGGTGATAAGATGGAACTATGCAGAACTTCATATAAAACTTCATCACCATCCTTGTGAAAACTCACTGCAAGGATGTACTTGGGCCACAATAAAGCAGCCTCATCCACTCATATTGATCCAAAGGCGAGTTAACAGCACCTACAATGTAAAGAGTCTTTTTTTTCTCTTAGTATGTTTAGGCATTTTACTTTGTAAATAAATAGAATTTGGGGGGCCAGGAGGAATGTAAAGCAATGAAGTGCCCTAAGGTCTACACTAGGGAGTGGGATCGACCTAAGATATGCAACTTCAGCTACGAGAATAGCATAGCTGAAGTCGACGTACCTTAGGTCGACTTACCTCATGTCCTCATGGCGCAGGGGTCGACTGTCGCCTCTCCCCCGTCATCTCCACTTCTGCCTCTTGCCGTGGTGGAGCACAGGAGTCGACGGCAGAGTGATCGGGGATCAATCACTACCCGCCAATCCGGTAGGTAGTGTAGACAGTTTCTTTTGTAATCCTTTGCAGTGTTTCATCTTTCACAACCAGTCACTCCCCTAATACTGAAGGCATGATCTGTTCAACACATTCAAATACTAATGGCCACATAACCATTTTCCTTCTGAAAAAATGAGGCATAGATGCTTTGAGTCATTTATCCTACAAAGAAGAAAATTAAACTTAGTGGGAAACAGGTTATTTTGAAAAAGGGTGAAACTACATGTGTCAGTATTACTTTGTGCTGAGGCCTGCCAATTTAATTTCCCTTGTGTCCTAGGTTCTAGAATCCAAATAATCTTCACCAACTAGTTCTTTATCCAGGCATTCAAGAAAGGAGGCTAATTTTCATGTAAGGGTGTTCTTGCACAAATGAACTGCCTACTAAACTAAATGACCAGCATATGTTAGTAACCATAGAACATCTTTTGTGGTTCCTAAAACCCATTTCCATTTTTATAAGTTTCTCACTAATATTCCCTTTCCTTTCTGCTTACTGCTTAGGGAGAAGAAAGATCTTTTTGTTATTGATCCATCAGGAAACTTGTATTACTACTGGCTGTTTTGCATCACATTACCCGTCATGTACAACTGGACCATGATCATTGCAAGGTGATGTATAACAGTGTGTATTTTCCCTATCCTCTCTCTTTCCCCATTAAAGTAATGAAATCCTCACATCTGGTTGCCACAAGGAAAGCCTTGTTTTTATCAGATAGAATGGATACAAATAATCTATTGACCTAGTACTTTTACTGTGTTTATCCTTTCAGTCTGGTATTGAATACAGTCTACAGTCTTTTAGGTTCAATAGCAGAGATCACACACATTTATTTACAATCTCTAAAGTTCTTTCCATCATGTCTTTTGTCCAGTTCAATAAAGGACTTTCATTAACTTAATTTCATTATATTTTTCTGTCTGAAGCTTTAATATTTTATCAGTCTTATGCTCCCTGATAATGAAATGCGTACACGTTAATGGAGGTTTGGAAAAGTTAAAAGCAACATAAAACAGGATCTTATAAAGGAAAGTGTTAGGCAATCTTAACCATTGGCATAATTATCAGCTCTATCTACAGTTACTCAAATTAATTTTTCTCAGTTAAATACTTTAAAAGATCCTTATAATCTGAGTTGTAAACATTTTCTGAAAGGAGATCTGAAAACAGGTTTTTCCACAAAGCTTTAAAATACTTGTTTTTATGTTATAAAAGTTTTGATAAAAATATTACATTTTCCAAAGTTTGATCAAGCATAACAGAGATCCTTTAAAGACACATTAAAAAAATGGTAGGGCCTCTGAATATATGGCAAATTTACTGTATTAATTACTGGTCTCATGGGACTATTTAAATTGTGTGCTTTTTTTCTTTTCCTATCCAGAGCCTGTTTTGACGAACTTCAGAACGACCATTTAGGAATGTGGTTCATTTTTGATTATATATCAGATCTAATCTATATTGCTGATATGTTTGTGCGGACAAGAACAGGTAGATGTACTCACTGTTTAGTTATCTACATTTATCTGTGTTATGCACTTTAAGGTGCCCATCAGTATATGATTTAGGGGCCAAATACAACAATTAAAGAAGAATTGGCTCTCTCCTAGAATGGACCAGTTAAATTGACTTTCCAGTTACACTTTATGTCTATGAAATGACGAAGTAAAGAAGTATCTTGCTGGCAATGTTCCCTCAATAAAGGAGGCCGGAAGGACTTCACACTGAAATATATCTTGACATACAAGGTCATCCTGATTTCTAGCAGAAAGGAACTGAAGTCCTTCCATTGCAAACATAATTTCTGCAGTTTTAGAGTTACACTTCAAATATTTTACCCACACACACACTTGTTTCTATCCTGTGATGTACTTCATCATGTTTTATAAATCAGACATAAATTTATCTGTATTCTACTTTAGTGTCCTAATTTAAATATTCCATAAAGCAGGGACCAATCCAGCAATCCCTTTTTAGGCACAACCACCATTGAAATTCAACTGGAATTTACCTGAAAAAGGAGGGCAGTGTCCAGCTGCTTATGCTCAAAACAGGGCTTTGGTAGGAAATGTGACGTGGTAGGTGAAATTGCTAAATAGAGAACAACATTATACATATGGTAGGGATGTGCTGATTTGTATTCTCCACTGACAAAACTCCTAGAAAGCCCCAATCACTGAAACTATACTCAAACTATATATGCTGCCGAATCAAACTAAAGCTAGAAGTTTTATCTTTTTATCCCTTTGTTAAAGATTTTAAAATATCTTTATAATCCAAGTTGTAAACATTTTCTAAAAGAATAGAAGAAAACACCAAGGGAAGAGGAACCATTTGCCCTCTTTTGTGGTGAATCCCTGGTGTGCAAGGGGTCATATTGGTGGAGGAAAAATAAAATTATACCTCCTTACCCCAGGTGTAATGAACCTACCTTATGAACTGCAAACCAGGATATATCATGTGGATAAAACCCTGCACCACCTTTATGAAGTAGTAAGGAATATATAAATCTCTTGCCACCATTTAAGCCACCTGCAACCTTTGCTGGCTGAACTTGAGACCCATCTGGTACAGGACAAGGCAGAGAATCCACTTGCTGTCTGCATGAGTTAGGATCAAGATTTTCAAAAATGTGTTAATAAAATTAGGTTCCTAATTCCATATTTAAGCACCTAAATCAGTAGCCTGATTTTCGAGAGTGATGACCACACAGCAGCTCCAGTTAGCTTCATTTTATTCATGTATCCATTTTTACAAATCTTACCCGAGAAGGAGAGTTGTTTGTGGGTGGGATGGGTGAACAAGGAATGGAATGAGTGCATGAGCGCTGCCCTCACTCTAACTCTCTCTCTCCCACACAAGGGCCATGGAGGTTACTAGGTGCTAGGGCAGCACAAACTGTAGCAGGAAGAGGGTGAACTTGGGAGGCTGTAAGTGTGACACTTCCACCATGGGGGATGGTTCCTCCCTTCAGGATTTCCATAAGACTCCACAGAGCCCAGCCAGGCCAGGCAGTACAGATGGCTCTGCTTAATCAAGTCAGCTAGGTCCAAGATTTGGCCCCAATTGCTTAGCTACAAAAATTCAACATAGGGCCTTAAAGTTCAAATCCAGTTAAAATATATAGCTGTTAAAACTATGCATCTTAATAAAAAGTTGGAAAATTATGTACAGTCAGAAACTCTATAGCCAAAATCATTTTAAAGATTAATTTGAAATTCACATATAACAGAATGCAATAGATGATAAAGCAACAAAAAAGTCAAAGTCAAAGAATTTTAAAGATTTTATATTTTATTTTAGGTTATTTGGAGCAAGGTTTGTTGGTGAAAGAAGAACTTAAACTTAAACAGAAATATACAGGAACTTTACAATTTAAACTAGATCTACTGTCAGTCATACCAACTGATCTACTGTACTTTAAATTAGGTCTGACCTATCCAGAATTAAGAATAAACAGAATACTTAAAGTATCTCGTATGTTTGAGTTCTTCCAGCGAACAGAAACAAGGACAAACTATCCAAATATCTTCAGGATCTCTACTCTTGTCATGTACATAGTGATTATTATTCACTGGAATGCATGTGTGTACTATTCTATCTCCAAAGCCATTGGATTTGGGGCAGACACATGGGTCTATCCAAACACCTCTGATCCTGAATTTGCCCGTCTGGCGAGAAAATATGTATATAGCCTCTACTGGTCGACGCTGACCTTGACCACTATTGGGGAAACACCTCCTCCTGTAAAGGATTCTGAGTACTTCTTTGTGGTTGTTGACTTCTTGGTTGGGGTGTTGATTTTTGCTACTATTGTTGGTAACATTGGTTCTATGATCTCCAATATGAATGCAGCCAGAGCAGAGTTTCAAGGAAGGATTGATGCTATCAAGCAGTATATGCACTTTCGAAATGTGAATAAAGAAATAGAAAAAAGAGTTATTAAGTGGTTTGACTACTTGTGGACAAATAAAAAGGCAGTGGATGAAAGGGAAGTTTTAAAATATCTACCAGATAAATTAAGAGCAGAGATTGCAATCAGTGTTCATCTGGACACATTAAAGAAAGTTCGAATTTTTGCAGATTGTGAAGCTGGCTTGTTAGTTGAATTAGTCTTGAAACTGCAGCCTCAAGTCTTCAGTCCAGGAGATTACATCTGCCGAAAGGGGGACATTGGACGAGAGATGTACATTATCAAAGAAGGTAAACTTGCTGTAGTAGCTGATGATGGAATTACACAATTTGTGGTCTTAAGTGATGGCAGCTACTTTGGGGAGATTAGCATACTTAATATTAAAGGCAGCAAAGCTGGCAATCGAAGAACAGCCAACATTAGAAGCATTGGATACTCAGACTTATTTTGTCTATCTAAAGATGACCTCATGGAGGCTTTAATAGAATACCCAGATGCAAAGGCCCTGCTGGAAGAGAAAGGTAAGGAAATCTTGCTGAAGGATGGGTTACTGGATATAGATGTTGCAAATACAGGAAGCGACCCTAAAAACATTGAAGAAAAGGTCATTCAAATGGAAGGAGCAGTGGACAACTTACAAACCAAGCTTGCCAGGCTTTTGGCTGAGTATGATGCCACACAGCAGAAACTGAAAAAACGACTGACAGAGGTTGAGAAAATACTGAAATCAACTATGCAGTTTGAATTCTCAGATTTAGAAGAATTAGATAAATAAATCTGAAATGTGTCAACACTAGAATAAAACACTGGGGACTGCCACTAGCAGTTAAGGATAAATCTTGTAAGCTACCGAGTGCCCTCAACTCTGATCCTTGAGGATGTGGCCCTTTATTATAAGCTACTACTTAGTCATGAAACATCACTTATTTCATATTAGGCAATATACATACACAGTAAACGTCAAGAAAAAAATAAGATGAAGAATCAGGCATAAGAAAGGAGCATAAATATCATTGTTTTCATGCTACAAAATGCTACTCGGTCCTGGGCTTGCAGTTATATTTATGAAGTGCGTACATAAATTTAGTGTTTTGATATTTAATCTCAGTGAAAATGTTACAATAAAAACCTATCAATCATTTTGTCTTTAACAATTGTAGGCCCTTCAGGACAAGGACTGTTTATTTGTATTTCCTCTGTATTTTGAAAATAGCTGGTATATTTGTTAGGCCCTAAAGCAAAATAAATAATAAATATCAGTAATATAAAATGTTTGCTAATGGGTTATTTATATTATCCTTTATGTAACATTGTTGTAAAAACAAGTGCATTTAATCTACATACTATAATATGTTGATAGCCATGCAAAGTTGTACTCCATATTATAATTTTTTATAATTTCCTTCTCATTCACTATGTAAATAAGGAAACATTTGGTAACATTTTTATTGGTTATCTGAAGTCTGCATAGGTATACAGTAAAACCTCAGAGTTACGAACACCTTGGGAATGGAGGTGGTTCATAATTCTGAAATGTTCCTAACTCTGAACAAAACATTGTTCATTCCAAAGTTTACAACTGAACATTGACTCAATACAGCTTTGAAACTTTATTATGCAGAAGAAAAATGCTGCTTTCCCTTTATTTTTTAGTAGTTTATGTTTAACACAGTACTGTACTTGCTTTTTTATGGGGGGCGGGGGGTCTCTGCTGCTGCCTGATTATGTATTTCTGGTTCCAAAGGAGATGTGTGGTTGACTGGTCAGTTTGTAACTCTAGTGTTCATAACTGAGGTTATACTATAAATGTAATATGGCCTTTAAACAAGCCCCTAACCTCACCAACCTCATTGCCAGAAGCAAGCTCCCCACAGACCAGGACACACCAACTCAAAGTGGCACCACACTCTGCCAGTAGATGTACAATAGGTGTAAAACCTGAAGACATATTTCCACAGCTACGATGATCAATACCTCCCACAACACACCTTTCAAGATCCCTGGGTCCTATACATGCCTATCACAACCTGTGGTGGACCTCATCCAGTGTATCAAAAGCCCCAAAAACAAGTGTGTGGGTGAAATCTGACAATTACTACACTCTCAAATGAACTCATAGAAAAATGATAAAAGACAAAAACAACATATCACCCATGGGCAAACACTTTTCACAAAGCGATCACTTCATCTCTGACCCATTACTCCTCGTCCTCAAAGGAAACCTGCACAACTCCTTCAAAAGACAAGTTGGGGAACTTAAATTCATAACTTTGCTGGACACTAAAAATCATAGTCTCAACAAAGACACCATGATTTCATAGCTCATTACAATAATTGTAACCCACTAACCCTTGTTTGGTCCTATGAATGCAGAGGTGTTACTTGCCCACTTCATTTTAAGTGGTTTCTTGCAATGTGTTTAACCCTTTATGTTTAACATGCTGTCCCACCATGTACTTAGCTGAGACACTCTGGTTACTTTTTGCAGACCTAAAAAGCAGCTCTATGAAGCCTGAAAGCTTGTCCCTTCCACCAACAGAAGTTGGTCCAATAAAAGATATTACCTCACCAACCTTAATTTTGGCATTTCCTAACTTCTTAGTGTTTGGCTTGGCAACCTTAAAAAAAACCTTATAGTAAAAGAATATTATGTAGTTTATTATTTATATTGCTGCAGCACTTACAGGACCAAGTCCTGTTTTGCTAGGCACTGTACAAATATTTCAGAAACAGATTATCCCTGCCTTGAATGGCTTACTCTAAGAGTCTAAGTAATAAAACTCATGATTTGAAGAAGGGTATGAGACAGGTATCGGCAACCTTTGGCCCGCGGCCCGTCAGAGTAAGCCCCCCGGTGGGCCAGGCTGGTTTGTTTACCTGCTGTGTCCGCAGGTTCGGCCAATCACAGTTTGCTGCTCTATGCCAATGGGGGCTGCAGCAAGCGGTGCAGGCCGAGGGATGTGCTGGCTGCTGCTTCCCGCAGCCCCCATTGGCCTAGAGTGGCAAACCGCGGCTAGTGGGAGTTGCGATCAGCTGAACCTGTGGACATGGCAAGTAAACAAAACGTTCCGGCATGCCAGGGGGGCATACCCTGGCGGGCTGCGTGCCAAAAGTTGCCAATCCCTGGTATGAGATGTTATCTACAGCAGTGAAACTTGTGGTTCAGTGATAGTAACATGAAGTAGCTGCCAGATATCACTGTTACGGTGTTGATGTGTTTTAGTGAAGAAAAGTGGATATCTATTGTCATAACCACAATTTTTGGCTTATTTTAATTGGCCCATCAGGCTGTAACATCAGTAATAGCCACTAGATGCCACTGTTGTTACATGAACAAATTTTCTTGACAATAGAAATCTTGAACCAAAAATCATTGAATGCAAAACAAAATGCTGTATTTCTAATAGAAACACCAAATCATACGCTGGTGTATTTCAGACAGATAGAAGTTTTATAATGTAAAATATTGATATTTTTAACTTTAACAAGCATGTATTTGCTAAAATAAAACTATGTTTAAAGTTTTCTTCTGACAAAGGAAGTACTTTGAAATAAAAATGTAGGGGTTATGTGTACACTCCAGTCACATTAAAATTCTTCCACATTGTTTATCTGTCAACATTTTAAAAAATGTTTCAAGTTTCATGTTAAAGACACTGTAGCTCTTGTAAAACATCCTAAATACCTTAATTCTGCAAAATTTTAAGTGCATGCATAACACTACTTCCGTGAGTAGTTCTGCTGAAGTCAATTGGACTTCATAGATGAGTCAAGTTGTGAACAAGCTTCAGTATTTGCAGGATCAGGACTTAGCAATTGGGGTTCTAGTTTGGTCCATTATAGACACAGATCCTACTGTATTCAAATGTGGGTTTGGATTTCAAAGAACCCCGCAAAACTGGAGTGTTTTATTTCAGAATTCTCAACTCCAGAGTTTACCATTAAGAGTGAAGCAACTGTCAGTCACAAATGTATACAAATCTGGTTAGGAAATCTTGTGTATTTACTAGATTAAATCTATGGTGTATGAAATAAATATCTACAGTATTGCAACAACTTTTAAGAACTTGTCATTGAAGTAAATCCCATCGATTACAAACATATTCTTCAATTCCTGTTTTGTGAAGTAAAAATCTTCTGAGACATTCTTATAGTGAAGTTGCTGAGTATGGATAGTGGTTGATTTTTTAATCTCACAACAGACTAATTATTTATTAAATAACATGTTCTATCTAGATTGTAATCTACTCTGTTTAAGCGTAACAGTTCCGTATGGCCCTTCTTTTCTATCCATAACTCAGAATACCCTGACTTACTGGCCTGACACTTAAGATTTTTTTTTCTGTCCTCTTCACATATGTCCTGAATTACTCCAGTAAGCAGTTTTCATTCTTTTACTTAGGGCTTATCTACATGGAGACTTGGGGCATGTCTACACAGCCCTGCAGTTCAAGCTCTGAGGGTGTGAAGAGCAGTGGGCACCAGAGTGCTGTGCTGTAACTTCCCTGTGTAGAGGCTGTGGGCACAAACTTAAAGGTTTCTCATTCGCATTAATATAATCCTATCTGAAGAGGATTAAAAAATCACAACTGATTTTCATATTTAAATTTGGCTCATTCCTATTTTAACAATCCTTTCAAACAGACATAAAAAAACGTCCAAATAGCAACACTCTTCCCCCAACTTACTTACTTTATAGATAAGGGTGCATTTATTCCCTCAACAAGAATTAACAACACATATATGTGTAGCAGAACCTGAGAGTTACGAACACCTTGGGAACGGAGGTGGTTCGTAACTCTGAACAAAATTTTATGGTTGTTCATTCCAATGTTTACACAGCTTTGAAACCCGTACTACGCAGAAGAAAAATGCTGCTTTTAACCATCTTAATTTAAATGAAAAAAGCACAGAAACAGTTTCTTTACCTTGTCAAATCCTTTTTTTAAACTTTCCCTGTTTTTTTAGTAGTTTACATTTAACACAGTAATGTATTATCTTTGCTTTATTATTTTTGTCTTTGCTGCTACCTGATTGTGTACTTCTGGTTCCAGATGAAGTGTGTGGTTGACCAGTCAGTTTATAACTCTGAGGTTCTACTGTAATATCTTTATGAGGGAATTTCAATAAAAAGTCAGCATTAGAAAAGTAAATACACATTAGTACTGAAAATACAAGCATGCTTCCCAACCAAAGACATCTACTATTTACTTGCCAAGAGGTTATACATCTATTTTGCTAGTTATAGAAAACTAAAACCAAGAATCCAGTCAGGCCTCTTTACAAGATGATCCTTTGTTAGTCATAACCTAAAGTAAGTTAAGAACAACAAAAACAAATGAATATTATATACTATGCACACTGAGTTCTAGCATTTGATCCTAATTATGAGAGGTCTTATGAAGTTTAGTTTATAAAGTGTAATTAAAAAGATGTAATGGTGCCTGCTAATTTGCACTAACTAAGAGACCTATTATGACTGATTGAATTTTGCAAACTAGCAGGTAAATGAGCAATAAAAAAGGAAGGACAATAAATATCAATATAATTGGAACAGCCTAGTTTGGACTCAATTATTTATTAAAGAACACAAACAAAAACACCACAACACTGTTAAATTACAGTTGACCTTGCTACGTGCAACACCATAAAAGATGAGTAAGGTAACCATGCCCCAGAGCTGCGATCATGTCTCCTGCCTTCCTCCCTAGCTGAACCGCCTCCGGCTTAACCTCGATGAGGGCAGCCCCTAAAGCACTGGTCGGATCATGCTCGGGCCGGCCGGCGGCTCAGCCAGGGCGGGGCCTCCGGCCGGCGGAAGGGGCGGAGCTTCGGGCGGAAGGGGCGGGGCTAATCTCCCGCTGCTGGCGCTGCCCGGATAGAGGAGGAGGAGGGGAGGAGCCGGGCGGACAAGGGGTCTGCTCGGCGCCTGGCCAGAGGGATGGAGGCGGCGTGGCGCCAGGCCGGCCGGGGCAGGGGGCGAGCCCGGGCCAGCGGCCAGGCCGGGATCGGGCTCTGTGCCCGCGGGGGAGCTAGCGGCGGCGCCGCCCGGCCCGGGTCCGGGTCCGGGTCCGGGTCCGGCCGGGGGAGAGGAGGCGGCGGCGGCGGCGGCGGCACTCCCTGTATCCCGCTCACCGGCAGCAGCAGCTCCCTGGGAGCTAGAGGTGAGTATCCTCCCGGGGCGGCGCAGCCGGGGGAGGCAGACGCCGGGCTGGACTCTCTGGCAGGCTCCACGGGGCGCCCTGAGCCGCTGGCGGCCCCCGCTTGTAGGGCAGCGGCAGCATTGACCGGCTGGGGCCAACGCAGAGGGGCTTCGTTAATAGTGGGGGGCGCAGCCTGAAGCCCCAGCCACGCAAGCCAGAGGTCCCCGACAGCCCAGGGCTGCGGGTCGGGAGGCCTGAGTTAATTCCCGGCGCTGCCGGGGTGTCTCTGCCTTGCCCGCGCTGGTGAGCCTCCGCTCCCCTGAGTGGCGCTGTTGATTTCCCACCCTTCTGTGCGAGGGTCACAGCCTGCACCCTTGTAGCGATTGTTCCCGAACACGTAAGACATTGCAGCCAGCGAAGTCTAGTCTTGCCTCTGGTGGGGCTGCTCAGCTGAATACGTGCTCCCCAGTGTGGGCAAGGGCCCCATAATCTGGCCCCTAGTTTCTGCCGCCGTTTCCTATTCGTAAAATGGAGATTATCAGTATCTCACAGGAGTATTGTGAATATACATTCTCTGTTTGTGAAATACTGAGCTGCTATGTTGATGAGGGGCATGGAAAAATTTGTAAATAAATATTTAACCCCTTAAGCTTAACAATCTGCTTTACCTTGTATTTAGCTGTGACACTCTGGTTACTTTCTCCAGACATGAATAAAAGCTCTGTGAATCTCAAAAAGTTGTTTCTTCTCTCAATAGAAATTAGTCCAATAAAACACATTGCCTCACCCACCTTCTCTTTATTAGTAAACTTCTCTTTATTTACAGCAAGCTGAGTTAGGTCATGGTATGGTCTCCCAAGGAAAGCAAGGAAGACTTTTGTTAAGACTAGTTTCAAAGCACTTATAAATACATTGTAGGGAACAAACTTGCACGTGGCATGGGGATGAAATGACTGGCCTAAGAAATCTTTTGCATCTCTAATTCTATAGTATCTGATCTTATGGTTACTATACTTTTATGTTGGACTCTTAACAAGTTTGTGATTTTATTAGTATTCATTTATATTATTGTAGTGCTTGGGAGCCCTAGTCATGGGCCGGGATTCCATTGTACTAGGTGCTGTACAAACACAGAGCAGAAAGATGGTGCCTGCCCCAAAGAGATTACAATTTAAATATAAGTTAAGAGATGGATACAGACAGTGGGGGGAGTACCTATGAGCAGTGAAACAGTATTGGTTGACAGGATGGGCAGTGGGCTCAGTATATCAGCAGCCTAACCATTACCAAGCTTTTTGTATGCATCATGGCAGATGAGAGTTATGAAGGTGGATATGAGGTAGCTTTGCAGACAGTTATGGGGACCTAAGTTCCCTCTAAGCTGCACGGCCATGCAGCTGCCTATTAAGCCCTGTGCAGGGGTTCAGGGCTGCCAAGGGGAGAGGCGCTTCTCCCCCAGCATAGACATGCTGCGGCGGTGAGAGAGAGCTGGGGGAGGGGTCCTCTCTCCCCACTGTAGCCCCTGGGCAGCCTACACCCCAAACCGCTCATCCCTGGCCCCACCCTGGAGCCCTCATTCTCTTGCACCCTGAGCCCCTCTCACACACCGAACCCCTCAGCCCCACCACATGAATTTTATGTGCACCAATATGGAAGTGATGTGTGTCACATCACTTTCATATTGGTGCATATAACAAAATTCATTCCATACATGCATGGGAAAAATTAGAGAGACCACTGATGTGGACATCCTCCCAAGCGAGAAAGTATGGGGAAAGTATGGAAGTTCTTGTCTGAAAATTTAACAAGTGCCTGATGGAGGCTGGTATCATGGGTTGATCAAAGTTAAGAATCAACCTTTTGATACCAAATAAGGGATTAGTAGGGTAGGGATAGGTTGTGATGGGCTTTGAAAATGAAAGCAGGTAGTTTCTTTGCAGTAAAAAAGGTTGACCCAGTGGAGAGATGCAAAGACAAAGAAATGACATGGTCAAAGCAATGGGCTAGGAAAATTAACTTTGTAGTAGCATTCTGAATGAATATAAGTGGTGCAAGATTGGAGAGAGACTAATAGTCTTAATAAATGCGAAGGAAGGAAGTGAGACTTTGCAGTAGAGTCCCAGTTGCAGATCCAGTCTCCCACTACATCATACTTGGTAGTCTAACAAATTATCTGTTAAAATGACTATATGGAGGCTACTTAATGTTGTCAAATGAAGTGGTGACATGGATCCATTACTGCAGTAGCGATGCAATGGACTGGTGAGAGAGCCCCAAAAGTCACAATTGTCAAAGTAATAGAAACAATTAAATGTACCTCCAAAGTTTCCGCAAAATAGCACAGATGCACTCTTACAAACAGTTCTGAAATTTTATGTGCCTGACCCAACAAAAAGGAATAGTGTTTTTAATAGCCTTTAGGTAAAGCAGCAGTATGTACTGTCTAGCCAGCATACTTTGATAGGATGTGTGTGTTTGGTTAGATTAATATTTCTTTTGAAATAGTGATACTGGTGCATCAAATGCAATTAAGTACTCCCAAAACTGAACATTCATGCTGATGCACAGTATTTGGGGAGGGGGAGGAGCCATATTTACTTGTCCTGCATTAGAAACACTAAAATGCTGAACTGGCTGTAAGGAGAGAATACTTATTGAGAACATTAAGTTTAAAAAAAACTAAAAAGGACAGTGGAGTCTTCAGAATTTAATATGGCATTAAAATTAATGTATTTTTTATACAGAATTATCTTCTCAGAAGAAATTTGATGAAATTAAGAAGGCTAATCAAGCGGCAGCAAAAAAGTTTGTTGAAGACCAGTTTAGTTCCTCTTCTGAAGAAGATGAAGATAGCGAAGGAAAACATGGAAAGATATTGGCCAAAACATTCACAACTTATACTAATCAAACTGGTAAAATATTTTAATATATTGACATCTCTGTTTGTGGCATAAAAAAATTGGCAGCATTGCACGATCATCTTATATTTAAAAGCTTTGATAATTAGAGATAGATAATTCTGATATTGTAATGTTCTTAACATACGATGTTAAGTACTTAATTTTCTGTGGTGGTCAAGATTGGTAGAAGATTTGTCACAGGGTATCTCTGTCACTACCTGGTGTGCTATGCTGTCTAGAATGTTTCTGTCACCTCACAGTTACAAACACTCCCAGGCTGTTTTCCTTTCACTACATGTATCTTTTATTCCTCTGCTTTTTTTTAAATGCACAAAATATCACACAAGTATTGTGTAGCAGAAGCTTTCAATATAGCCTCCCTCCTTAGTACAGCTCACTCTCTGAGCTTCCCTTCTGAGCTCACCCTTGTTTCCTGTTCCTTCTATTTATATCCTCCCAATGATGTTGTCAGCCCAGTATTACCACCCAGGTGCTCATAATCCCACAACAGAAAGTGTTTAATTGTTCACAGCTGAGCTTGCAGCAGACTTCATACTGCAGCAATTGATAAGGATGCTGCTGCTAGCACCTTATCACAATTGCATATGCCACTTATACACCAGGCCAGCTAGTTGAGGAGAAAAGCTGGCTGATTAGGCAAAGGGGAAGAAAAGTCTCAGGTTTGCAAAACAAAGTTTCAGAACTGTGTGGTTTTTCATTGGTTTGTATTGTTTTGTTTTTGGAGAGAGAATAAATGCCTACATGTATCCTAACTCCTTATGCTGAATTGTTATAGCCCTGCAACTTGGGTAAACTAGTCCCATGCATGGGAGATGTAGCATCTGGACCTTTCCGGTTCTTTAGTTCTTTCATGTCTACATTTTTGTTTTATTTGGTGGGGCAAGGGAAGTGGAATGGTAGTGGTGGAAGAGCTCCTGAAAATTTAAGGAGAGGAGATGACAGGAGTAACAGAGCAGAACTGGTCAGGCAGGGCTGTGTTTGGACTGGTAGGGTATGGATAGGTAGCAGCTGAGGAGTGGGAAGTGTGCCATCTGAGGCAGAAGTTGGCGAGGGGAGATGGGAGTAGCAACTTTGGTATACTTGCCACCACTTGATGGGGGAAGAAGTGATCTGGTGAGATGCAGGTGAGGAAGAGGGCTGCAGGATTTAGCCATTTGGTCCCAAGAATTGAAATGAAACTAACTAAATCCCTGTGCACCTGCTGACTATTTATACTCAATTATATGCTGGGTGGACAGACTTGCAATCTTGATTAGTGTGATTTTTTTTATTTTCCTTTCCTCTTCTAAGCTCAATAAAACTCTAACGTGACATTTTCTTTGACTTGTGCTTGGAAATAATGCTACACAAATGAACATTTGATTATCTTTAAACGTGAGTGCTCATCTTTGGGTGCTCAGATATAAATAGAGGATCAAACACTGTTAATGGTCTTACAAGAAGGCTTTGTTTTTTGTGTATTAAAGATGGAGATGCAAGTGAACTAGAACGTACAAGACAATATGTGAATGAAGCATTTCAGTCTGGGGCTTTGACATGCTTGATTTGCATTGCTTCAGTTAAGAGAAACCAAGCTGTAAGTATTTTACAATAGTCTTCAAGGTATTAACCAGCTAAATTGCTTTTTATTAATATGTATCAAGCAAATGTTAAATATTTAAATATGAACACTTGCCTGACTTATTGGAGTGTTGAGGATTAACATGAAAGTTTCTAGGAGTGCTAAATACTACATAAAAATTATAGTTCACTTTCAGCTGTCATGTTTGTGCAGTATCAAAGCTTATACATACATAACTTGAAATCGTAGTGGTGAATTTTGGTTTTTGTTCTGTGAGGTTCCTGTCAAACCTGTGGTCATGGTACAGTATAAATAAGCTTGACATAATTTGATTTTTATTTTAATATAATTTTGATGGATAATATCAATATTTTTAACTATTTACATTTTCACAGTTGTAGGAAATTAGGGGAGGGGAGTCAGACATTTAGCTAATAACATTGAGATTCAAAAAGGTAAAGCTTTATTACTGTTAAAATACAAATACAAAATAAATGGCTTTAAAAGTTTTCAGGAGGTACATTTCTTAAATTTGTAAATTTTGATTACTATCTAGGGAAATATTTTTTTCATTGGTTTGTGTGTATAAAGAGAAATTTATTTGATATTTATCAATAAAAACTTAGGCCTTTCAAGCCTAATTAGAAGGATCACATTTTTAAATTTTAGAAAGTCACAGATACAAAAAGCAGCAGCAATAGGGCCTACAATTCAAAAGGATACGGTTGTTGAATCTTGGTTAAGATATTGTTACAGTCCACAATAGGGGAGTATCACAGTTGGATCATATAGTAAGGGGAACCAAAATTAAGCTACAGTATTGCAGAATGGGTCAGTAAGGTACAATGAGAGAAGAATGTGGGATTTTGCTTGTCTGGGTTTTGAGATCTGCATGATTGAATAAATATAGCCAAAATGACTTCACGTCCCCTGACCCACGTCTTTTTCATTTCATGCAGCCACATTTTTCCATTTTTCCAACATATCTCAAGCCAAATTTTACTCCAACTGAAGTCAGTGGAAAACTCCATTTAATTCAATAGGTACATGATTGGGCCCATCATACTTCACTGTAGTAAATATTGTAAGGGGAAACAGACTGGCTATGCCCTTGGTTTGCAATAACAAATCTTGCTGCAAAAGAGGTAGTGTGCAGAAAAACTTTCCTTTTTTTTTAAATGGTGGATAGTTGTTATACATACCTAATAAAACTGAAGACGTTAACTTGTTCACAGAAGTCTCGTACAACACATGGTATGTGATTTTTATGTGACCTTTTGGTTCTTACAAATGAAATGCATTTTTAATGTGTCAAGGCCAGGTTTTTTGTGTTTTTTTTTAATTATTTTTTTAATTTGATTTGTCCTGTGACAGTTGACTTGACTTATGAGTAGACCTAAAATCATTTGGAAACTTAAATGAAAGTTGTTTGTGTTTTGTTGTTTTGCATTTTTTTTAAATCAACACATTGTTACTTATCTTGGATCCTTAACTGTTTTTTCCATTGAGTATTTTAATTCAAATTTAGTAAACCTGTCAACTGTTTATAAATGTTAGTTTTGGAAATGAGCAATTGAGCTGTTAGTAACTTTTAGTGGGTCTGGGGTAACACACTTTTGACGTTGTCAGAAGATTGGAAATGTTTTCTCTTGCCTTTCACAAGCTAAACATAAAATAACTTGCTTCCATTTTAAAATGTCCAAGGGTAAATCCAGAGAAAAAGGAAATTCAGACTTAAATCTTCAGCTGTTTCACTTACCCCATTATGTCTGGTTCCTGCAACACACTGAATCTTTTAAGGTGTCTATGGAGATCATGGTAGTGAGCCTCCCATTCTGGGATGACGGACTCAGGTTTGTAGGGCTCATGCTACTGTGCTAAAAATACCATTGCAGTTTAGGCTCTGAGCCCTGGGGAGGGGGGTAGACTTCAGACCTAGAGCTCCAGCCCAAGCCATGACATCAAAGTGCTGCGTACACAGTTGTGTTTTTTTTTTTTTTAAGCACAGTAGAGCAAGCCTGGACTGGGAGACTTTCTGCCATGGGCTGTGTAGACCATACCCTAAAGGGCGTCACATCATAAGTTAGACTATAAACTTGCAAACAAGGACATTTTAACTTAAAGGGCTGTGACATAGGTGTGTACAGACTTGCCTTCCTTGGGCATTGCACAAGATTTGCATACATACTTACGTATGTTCACAGACCCTGATTCATGTTTATGCACTGGAGGCTGTGTGCCTAAATTGGATGTATTTTTGTATATTTTTGCTTATAATACTGCTTTGAGATAATTTTCATAGTAATCTTTCAAATATCAGACTGACAGTACAAATTTATTCACCATTCAGGTGTTTTCATAACACCTTTTATGTGTTTATCCTGTTTGCAGGTTTCCAGTTATCTCTTTTAGACAGAGTATATTCCTTCACCACTCACCTTCTATTTCATCTTGTAGTGAAATCATAAAGCTACATTTATTCTATTTCACTTGATTCTCAACTGACCTACTGAGCATACGATAATGATTTCGCTTCAGGATCAGCAAAGAAATACAGCCAGGAGCAAGAACATACAACTTCAGTTATGGCAGAAGGAGACTGGCTGCAATAAATTACTAGCTTTTTTTTTTTTAAGTTTGTCAGTTATGAAAGTACCTGCTTTAAAAGGGACACTACATTTAAACTGACGCTTCTGCATGAGTCTTTGGTTTATTATTGTTGCACGTAACACCTAAGATTAGAGAGGTAAAAAATGTTTTACTATTTCTTTTGTGTAATTAGGCCCACATAAGCAACAGGAAAAAATTACACAGCAATAGAAGAGAGAACAACATTTTACAACAGTATGAAGCTGTAGTAGTAAAATCATCAAAATTGGCAGGTGAATACAGGAATACATGTAGTATATGAAACTAGTTTTACCTTTTTTTTTTTTAATTGAATAGATTTAAAGTTGGTATCCCTTTTAGACACTGTTTTTTTTTTTTTTTTTCATTCATTTAATCAGAAGCAAGCCTAATAGGTGCTAGTCATTTCTTTTATGTTTATCTTTTAGGTCTGGAGCTGTTCTGGATGTTTCTGTATATTTCACATGCCATGTATCCAAAAGTGGGCTAAGGACAGCCTTTTTCTTATATCTTCTCCCTTGACAGATGATGATTTTGGGAAGAAAGATTATCCATGGCCTTGGTAAGCTTTGCATGTTACATTTAAAAAGATGCCTTGATTGAGGAGTAAGTGAGAACTGACTCACTTTAAAAAGTAACAGTACTTGTAACTGGAAAATGTGTACTCCATACTTGCTTTCACATTGTTCTGTGAATTTGTTTGAAGTTCACACTGGCACAGTTTGTGTTTAGGAAGCATTTAAAAAAAAAATCACTGCATTGAAATTTCAACATGTGAAGACAGTAACTTGACTGTTGTACAGATATCATGTTTTGTTCTCAGTTAAAATGTGGTTTTGATGGGTTTCCCCCCTGGTGTACCACCTGGAACTGGAGTACCACTAAGCCTTCCTGACCCACCAGTTTGGGCTCCTTTTTGCACTGTATTGCTGTGACAAGCTGCAAAGCCCTCTCCAGGCTGCACTTTCACCTGCATACATACAGATAGGGACACACCCAGCTCCTGTTACGCAACGGCTCTTTGACCGGCCCTTGCATGGGAAGGCTACAGCTAGGGAAACTACCAGCTTCTCAAGCATGCACCGACTCTGGAGTATAAACCCAAAATTCTAGCATCTTGCGCTGCACAGGGAGCTGTACAGCAAAACTCATAAAATTCACTCTCTCCCTCTATGTGGAGAGGAATATGCAACAGCTTTTTGCCCTTGAGTTATGATTTCCACACATTGTTTTAGATAAAGCAAAAATAAGTTTAACTACAAAAGAGAGATTTTAAGCAACTTAAAATAAAACCCTGTGATTAAGCATAATAAAATACCATCTATTTAAATATTTTTGGATGTTTCCTACATTTTCACATATAGATTTCAATTAAAACACAAAATACAAAGTATACAGTACTTGCATTATATTTTTGATAAAATATATTGACCAATCATTCTCACAGATCTTGGGAGATAGGCCAGTCCTTGCTTACAGACAGCCCCCCAACCTGAAGCAAATACTCACCAGCAACCACACAACAAAACCACTAAACCAGGAAGCTATCCTTGCAACAAAGCCCGTTGCCCACTGTGTCCACATATCTATTCAGGGGACACCATCATAGGGCCTAATCACATCAGCCACACTGTCAGAGGCTCGTTCATTTGCACATCTACCAATGTGATATATGCCGCCATGTACATTGGCCAAACTGGACAGTCTCTATGTAAAAGAATAAATGGACACATATCAGACGTCAAGAATTATAACATTCAAAAACCAGTTGGAGAACACTTCAATCTCTTTGGTCACTCGGCAATTCTTCAACAAAAAAAAACTTCAAAAACAGACTCCGAGAGACTGCTGCATTGGAATTAATTTGCAAACTGGATACAATTAACTTAGGCTTGAATAAAGACTGGGAGTGGATGGGTCATTACACAAAGTAAAACTCTTTACCCATGTTTAGTCTCTCCTCTTTCCTCCTCCACTATTCCTCACATGTTCTTGTCAACTGCTGGAAATGGCCCACCTTGATTATCACTACAAAAGGTTCCCCCCGCCGCTCTCCTGCTGGTAATAGCTCACCTTACCTGATCACTCTTGTTAGTGTGTATGGTAACGCCCATTGTTTCATGTTCTCTGTGTATATAAAATCTCCCCACTGTATTTTCCACTGCATGCATCTGATGAAGTGATCTGTAGCTCACAAAAGCTTATGCTTAGATAAATTTGTTGGTCTCTCAGGTGCCACAAGTACTCCTTTTCTTTTTGCGGATACAGACTAACACGGCTGCTACTCTGAAACCAAGTATTTGCACTGTAAAAAAACAAAAGAAATAGTATTTTTCAATTCACCTAATACAAGTAGTGTAGTGCAGTCTCTTTATCATGAAAGTTGAACTTAAAAATGTAGAATTATGTACAAAAAAATCTGCATTCAAAACCAAAACAAATAGAGCCTACAAGTCCACTCATTCCTGCTTCTTGTTCAGCCAGTCACTCAGACAAACAAGTTTGTTTACATTTGTAGGAGATAATGCTGCCTGCTTCTGATTTACAATGCCATGTGAAAGTGAGAACAGGTGTTTGCATGGCACCGTTGTAGCCGGCATTGCAAGGTCAGGCTTGACAAAGCCCTGGCTGGGATGATTTAATTGGGGATTGGTCCTGCTTTGAGCAGAGGGTTGGACTAGATGACCTCCTGAGGTCCCTTCCAACCCTGATGTTCTATGATATTTGTGTGCCAGATGCGCTAAAGATTCATATGCCCCTTCATGCTTCAACCACCATTCCTAGAGACATGCATCCATGCTGATGACAGGTTCTGCTCATTAACCATCCAAAGCAGTGCAGACCAACACACCTTCATTTTCGCTATCTGAGTCAGATGCCACCAGCAGAAGGTTGATTTTTTTTTTTGTGGTTCGGGTTCTGTAGTTTCCGTATCGGACTATTGCTCTTTTGAGACTTCTGAAAGCATGTTCCACACCTCGTCCCTCTGATTTGGAAGTCACTTCAGATTCTTAAACCTGTGGTTGAGTGCTGTAGCTATTTCTGGAAATCTCACATTGGTACCTTCTTTGCATTTTGTCAAATCTGCAGTGAAAGTGTTCTTAAAATGAACATGTGCTGGGTCATCATCCAAGACTGCTATAACATGAAATATATGGCAGAATGTGGGTAAAACAGAGCAGGGGAAGACAATTCTCCCCCATGTAGTTCAGTCACAAATTTCATTAATGCATTTTTTTAATGAGCGTCAACAGCTACACATTTTTAGCATAAATACCTTGCAATGCTAGCTACAACAGTGCCATGAGAATGCCTGTTCTCACTTTCTGGTGACGTTATAAATAAGACGGCTGCATTATCTCCTGTAAATGTAAACAAACATGTTTCTTGTTCAGCCAATCGCTAAGACAAAGAGGACTGAGTGGACTTGCAGGCTCTGAAGTTTTACATTGTTTTGCTTTTGAGTGTAGTTATGTAACACAAAATTTATAAATTTGTAAGTTGCACTTTCACAACAGATTTCAGAGTAACAGCCGTGTTAGTCTGTATTCGCAAAAAGAAAAGGAGTACTTGTGGCACCTTAGAGACTAACCAATTTATTTGTGCATGAGCTTTCGTGAGCTACAGCTCACTTCATCGGACGCATACCGTGGAAACTGCAGCAGACTTTATATACACACAGAGAATATGAAACAATACCTCCTCCCACCCCACTGTCCTGCTGGTAATAGCTTATCTAAAGTGATCATCAGGTTGGGCCATTTCCAGCACAAATCCAGGTTTTCTCACCCTCCACCCCCCCACACACAAATTCACTCTCCTGCTGGTGATAGCCCATCCAAAGTGACAACTCTTTACACAATGTGCATGATAATCAAGTTGGGCCATTTCCTGCACAAATCCAGGTTCTCTCACCTGCTCACCCCCCTCCCAAAAACCACACACACAAACTCACTATCCTGCTGGTAATAGCTCATCCAAAGTGACCACTCTCCAAGTTTAAATCCAAGTTAAACCAGAACATCGGGGGGGGGGTTGGAAAAAACAAGGGGAAATAGGCTACCTTGCATAATGACTTAGCCACTCCCAGTCTCTATTTAAGCCTAAATTAATAGTATCCAATTTGCAAATGAATTCCAATTCAGCAGTTTCTCGCTGGAGTCTGGATTTGAAGTTTTTTTGTTTTAAGATAGCGACCTTCATGTCTGTGATTGCGTGACCAGAGAGATTGAAGTGTTCTCCGACTGGTTTATGAATGTTATAATTCTTGACATCTGATTTGTGTCCATTTATTCTTTTACGTAGAGACTGTCCAGTTTGACCAATGTAAATGGCAGAGGGGCATTGCTGGCACATGATGCCATATATCACATTGGTATATATGTGATATTTATTCTACGTAATAATCCAGGTGAGAGAACCTGGATTTGTGTGGGAAATGGCCCAACTTGATTATCATGCACATTGTGTAAAGAGTTGTCACTTTGGATTGGCTATCACCAGCAGGAGAGTGAATTTGTGTGGGGGGGTGGAAGGTGAGAAAACCTGGATTTGTGCTGGAAATGGTCCAACCTGATGATCACTTTAGATAAGCTATTACCAGCAGGACAGTGGGGTGGGAGGAGGTATTGTTTCATATTCTCTGTGTGTATATAAAGTCTGCTGCAGTTTCCACGGTATGCATCCGATGAAGTGAGCTGTAGCTCACGAAAGCTCATGCTCAAATAAATTGGTTAGTCTCTAAGGTGCCACAAGTACTCCTTTTCTTTTCACAACAGAGATTGCACTGTAGTACTGGTATGAGGTGAATTGAAAAATACTATCTTTATCGTTTCTACAGTGCAAATATTTCTAATAAAAACAATATACACTTTGATTTCAATTACAACACAGTACAATATATGTGAAAATGTAGAAAAACATCCAAAGTATTTAATAAATTTCAATTGGTATTCTGTTTAACAGTGCAGTTAAAACTGTGATTAAAACTGTGATTAATCACGATTAATTTTTTTTCATTAATCTCATGAGTTAGCTGCAATTAATTGACAGCCCTAATTTTAAGTGATTATAAGGGATAGCAAATAGATCAAAGCTGATTTTCTAGTCAATAAACAACACAAACTAAGCTTAATATACTAAATAGATTGCATATGAATAGCAGATTCTCACTGTAAGAGATGATAGAAGTAGGCTGCAGATTCTTAGGGGGCAAGTTGCGCTTGCTTACAGCTTGGAATCCCCAGGTGTTCTATTCACAGGCCAAAAATCCTTTAGCCTGGCTCCAGCACTTCCATCAGTTCAGTCTTTGTTCCTCAGGTATTTCCAGGAATCTTCTTGTGTGGGGAGTGAAGAACCCCAGTTGATGTCACTTCCTGCCTTATGCAAAAAGAAAAGGAGTACTTGTGGCACCTTACAGACTAACCAATTTATTTGGGCATAAGCTTTCGTGAGCTACAGCTCACTTCATCGGATGCATACTGTGGAAAGTTTAGAAGATCTTATTTATATAGCTTTTGGATAGGGCAGGAATCCTTTGTTTTAAAGCTTGGTTCCCAGACTGGTCTGTAGGAAAACACTGATATCCCAAGATGGAGTCTAGAGTAATGGTCTCATTACATGTCCTTGCAGAGTCCTAGCAGCCATTCTCGGAGGCTGTCTCTAGTGGTCTCAGGAAGACACCCCAAGTGGGAGATAAGCTTCTCCTAAGGCCTATTGTTTTCCTAATGGCCTATTCCCCACCCACTGGCTAGACTGAAAGCATCTTGTCTAATGGGAGTTTCCCAGGTGTAACTACATTTTGAAATACAGAGACATAGTCAATATTCATAACTTCAGATACAAAAATGATACAGGTATACAAATAGGATGATGATATGATAGAATCATAGAAATATAAAACTGGAAGGGACCTCAAGAGGTCATGTAGTCCAGTCCCCTGCACTCAAAGCAGGACTAAGTATTGTCTAGACCATTCTTGACAAGTGTTTGTGCAACCTGCTCTTAAAAATCCCAAAGGATGGAGATTCCACAACCTCCCTAGGCAATTTATTCCAGTGCTTAACCACTCTGCCAGAAGTTTTTCCTACCGTAAAACCTTAACCGCCCTTGCTGCAATTTAAGCCCATTGCTTCTTGTCCTATCCTCAGAGGTTAAGAAGAACAATTTTTCTCCCTCCTCCTTGTAACAACCTTTTATGTACTTGAAAACTGTTATTGTGTCCCCTCTCAGTCTTCTCTTGGCCAGACTAAACAAACCCAGTTTTTTCAATCTTCCCTCATAGGTCATGTTTTCTAGACCTTTAATCATTTTTGTTGCTCTTCTCTGGACTTTCTCCAATTTGTCCACATCTTTCCTGAAATGCGGCGCCCAGAACTGGACATAATACTCCAATCGAGGCCTAATCAGTGCGGAGTAGAGCGGAAGAATTATTTCTTGTCTTGCTTACAATATTCCTGCTATTATATCCTAGAATGATGTTTGCTTTTTTTGGAACTGTGTTACACTGTTGACTCATATTTAGCTTGCGGTCCACTATGACCCCCAGATCCCTTTCCGCAGTACTCCTTCCTAGGCAGTCATTTCCCATTTTGTATGTGTGCAACTGATCGTCCTTCCTAAATGGAGTACTTTGCATTTGTCTTTATTGAATTTCATCCTATTTACTTCAGACGATTTCTCCAGTTTGTCCAGATCATTTTGAATTTTAATCCTATCCTCCAAGCATTTTTAATCCCTCCCATCTTGGTATCGCCTGCAAACTTTATAAGTGTACTCTCTATGCCATTATCTAAATCATTGATGAAGATATTGAACAGACCCAGAACCGATCCCTGCAGCACCACACTCGTTATGCCCTTCTACCATGACTGTGAACCACTGATAACTACTCTCTGGAAACAATTTTCCAACCAGTTACGCACCCACCTTATAGTAGCTCCATCTAGGTTGCTTTTCTGTTGTTTATGAGAAGGTCATGTGAGAGAGTATCAAAAGCCTTACTAAAATCAAGATATGCCACATCTACTGCTTCCATATTATCCACAGGGCTTGTTACCGTGTCAAAGAAAGCTAGTAGGTTGGTTTGACACTATTTGTTCTTGAGAAATCCATGGTGACTGTTACTTATCACCTCATTATCTTCTAAGTGTTTGCACATTGATTTCTTAATTATTTGCTCCATTATCTTTCCGGGTACAGAAGTTAAGGTGACGGGTCTGTAGTTCCCTGGGTTGTCCTTATTTCCCTTTTTATAGATGGGCACTATATTTGCCCTTTTCCAGTCTTCTGGAATGTCTCCTGTCTTCCATGACTTTTCAAAGATAATTGCTAATGGCTCAGATATCTCCTCAGTCAGCTACTTGAGTATTCTAGGATGCATTTTATCAGGCCCTGGTGATTTGTAGACATCTAACTTGTCTAAGTAATTTTTGACTTGTTCTTTCCCTATTTTAGACTCTGATCCTACCTCATTTTCACTGGCATTCAGTATGTTAGACGTCCAATCGCCACCAAGCTTCTTGGTGAAAACTGAAACAAAAGTCATTAAGCATCTCTGCTATTTCCACATTTTCTGTTATTGTCTTTCTCCTGTCGTTGAGTGCCCAGCCTACTCTGTCCTTGGTTTTCCTCTTGCTTCTAATGTATTTGTAGAATGTTTTCTTGTTACTCTTTATGTCCCTAGCTAGTTTGATCTCATTTTGTGCCTTGGCCTTTCTAATTTTGTCCCTACATACTTGTGTTATTTGTTTATATTCATCCTTTGTAATTTGACCGAGTTTCCACTTTTTGTAGGACTCTTTTCAGTTTTAGATCATTGAAGATCTCCTGATTAAGCCAGGGTGATCTCTTGCCATACTTCTTATCTTTCCTATGCAGTGGGATAGTTTGCTCTTGTGCCCTTAATAATGTCTCTCTGAAAAACTGCCAACTGTCTTCAATTGTTTTTCCCCTTAGACTTGCTTCTCATGGGCTCTCCACAGTGGGAGGGGCTCTCCCCTCAGTGGGCTCTCCCCAGGCGAACTCCCAGTCAAACTCCCTCTGTAATTTATAGCCCTTGTGGTTGTGAATTGTCATTGGTCCCTGAGTCTACCGATTCATTTCAAGGACTGATTACAGCAAGTCCCAGCTGTAACTTGAAATCTCTTGTAGACCTATATTTTTAATGTATTAGCATCACTAAGTTTTTATTTGAATATCTTAGGAGTCTAGTCCAGTAAGAGTTCCCAGTTTTTAATGTCACTATTCGTGGTCCTATGCAGAGGAAGTAATAATTTTGTTACAGGTACTGTTTTGGAATAAAATTGTAGTATTTGGATATTACTTGAGGTGTAAAATATTATTCTCAAGGTTTGCTATACTAAATGCTCTCAAGTCTTACACTTTTTCATGGAAAAGGTATGGTGGAGCTGGGAGCATGAAGAATTTGTCATAGTGAAATTGTGCATTTAAAAATTAGTATGTAGCAGTCACCCTGGTGTATTATAAATTTAACTATATCCTTAACTAAAACAGTTGTAGAAAAGCAGTGTGGGTTGATTTTAAATCAGCAAGTAGAAAGCCTCAATTTGAATAATTGATTTTAATCAACTTTTCCATTTGTACTTCAATTATCTTCTAAAGAAAGGTGTGTTCTCATTGGTTAACATAACCATTAAAACATAGAATCATAGAAGTGTAGGACTGGAAGGGACCTCAATAGGTCAACACATTGATTTACAATTAAATAGAGCCTTTACACTATATTTCACACATCTTTTTGCTACCTAGGAGGGTACACTATAACTATATACATCTATTAAGCAGTTACATAGTTTAATACTTTCAGAGTCTTAATTGTACATTTTGGTATGTTAGAAAATAATAAAGCAATAAGTCATTCACTAACTTTTGGCTCATGATTTGTATCAAGCAGCATTAGGGTGGTAACTGGAATTTAATTAAACACACAACAGCATATAACATTTTATTTTTATTAAACAAAAGCTTAAATATTTTTTGGATACATGTGCTTATCAAAATATATTTCACATTTACAACTATATGAATTCATTGACTATAGTTAAGCACTCAGTTCGGTTAATAAAACTGATTATTTCTGTTTAGCCTGGGAAGATTTTTCAAATATGCCTAAGTGGAAGTGACTGGACTGTAAATTCCTGAAATGAGACAGGCTCCTAAGTTACTTAAGCTGACCTGTTGTGCCATATTTGTAAAGCTTAACCTCAAATGTTAGATGTGTTTTCTCTGATACTTTGAGTCAAAGGCTGCTTTTCTATATAAAGTTTCTGATGGAAGCTAATTTCATCATATTTTTTTTATTTAAATGTTAAGAGATTATAAATTTAGGCCTTAATGTATTTTATATTACACTTATATTTTAAACAGCTTTATTTTTTAAACAAAATTATTTAAATATTAAAATAAAAAAATCTAAATAAAATGATTGTATGTATGACTTTTAAAAAAAATCATACAGCTTTTTTTCAGGGTGGACAAAAATCTGTGTAGTTGATAACATCTGTGTTGCTTTGCCGAACAGAATTAGTAAAACTGTCCTTTTTCTTTTCTTGCCCATATCAGTCCAAAATGTAGGTTTGAGTACAAACGTTCTGAAACTCCCACTAGATACTACTGCTACTGTGGGAAGGTAGAAGATCCAGAGTTGGACCCATGGCTGGTACCTCACTCATGTGGCCAAGTATGTGAGAGGGAATTTAGACCTCCATGTGGACATAAATGCCTACTGCTCTGTCACCCAGGTAAGTCCCTTCTATGCTATTGATTAACTGTTCACAATTAGTCATGAAAACTATCATGCTTAAAATCAATTATGACACTGGACTTAAAACTTTAATAAATAGGAGAGAGTGAATATTTTTGGGAAATTGCATTATTAAAAGTTATAAGTAAAAGTTATTGAACGCTAATGAAAGGAGAATAAAATGAGTTATGGAGCTAGTGATGAAATGTTAATTTTATTGTTTCCTTTTAACCATTCTCAGGTCCTTGTCCTCCTTGCCCAAAGATGGTCACAATAGCCTGTTACTGTAAGAAGGCTAAACCAGTGCCGAGAAGGTGCAGTACCAAAGAATGGTCATGTCAGCTGCCATGTGGTCGAAAACTGCCATGTGGACAGCACAGTTGTGAGAACCCTTGTCACCCAGGTAGACCTGATCTTCTTAATTGTTCAGAGAGTAGTTTTGCATTAGTTACTAAGAGTTGAGGCTTGCCTGTATGAACTAATTAAAAGGAAAAAATTATTGTAATTCTTCTCCCTCTGTCACCTCACAATTAAGTCTATATTAATCACTTATTTTTAGGAGATTGTCAGTCTTGCCCACGAGTCAGTAAACAAAGGTGTGTCTGTGGTAGACAAATAACAGAAAGACTTTGTGCATGTCCATTTTGGCAGTGTGAGCAGGTATGTTTCAGAAGTCTTTTTGTATTGTCTTTATCTTAAAGAAAATGGGCTACTTCCTATATTGGAAAATTGAAAAGTGTTCCCTGTTAAGAGTTTATTATTATTTAATTTTTAAGGTACGTGGTTTTTAAACATACACACGCAAATCTAAGCAGCGGTCATTTGAAGACGAATACATTACATGGGTCCAGTTCACTCTTGACATTAGTATTCACAGCTTTGACTATGTTGGAATTCTGCATGCTTATGACAGTAGTAAACTTTACTTTCAGTCCCCATCATTTTGAGTAACTTTTAGATTCTTTTGAGAGAAACTTCTGTTGCCATCTTAAGCAAGTATGAAACACAGCTTAGTATGTGCTCTAGTGCTTTGTTTATTTACTAGTAGCAACTATGAAAAGCTTAATCAATTTTCTAAGAATGATTCAATATTTGTGGCTCAGAGCTACAACTGACACTGTAGATCGTAAAAACCTTAAATTGAAGGAAAGCAAAAGATGAGCGCTCTCATAAGACAGCGCAGAACCTCTGATTTTAATTTGTAGCTTAAGTCTACTTTTAAAGCTCAGGGAAAAAACTCCCTTCTCCTTCACAATCCCATTGGGTTTTGTGTCCTTTTATCTTGTTAAATTGCTCACTGTCAGCTGTTGAGGTATTATAGTTTTATTTTTTCTTTAAGGTATGTGGGAGAACTTTGCCTTGTGGTAATCACACATGTGAACAAGTTTGTCACTCTGGTCCCTGTGGCGAATGTCCTCGATCTGGGAAAAGGCCCTGTCCGTGTGAGAAATCAAGTAAGGATTTTTTTTCTCTCATTGAAGCACATCTGTTTGCTGTAATAGGATTCAAACATTCCCCAACTAGTTGAATTTACAGGAGAATGTAGCTCAGGTTTATAAATGTTTTTTACGGTAGTGATGGTCAACGGCTTACTTCTGCAGTGCAGTTACTTAGCAGGTTCCAATAAGCAATGAAAGCTGCAAGTTTTATGTAACTTTCTTGCTTGATTCTTTACAAGTTTGATATTACTTAATTTAACTATGATTTTATGATAGAGGTACTAACTTAATTCAATATATTTGTATATATTTTCTGTAGAGTTTCTTTAAAAATGAGAGGGTGAAGCTAGAAAATACAAGTCAAATTGTCAACTGCATATCTAGATGTATCTTTGTGTTTTCTTTAGTACATGTGCTGTCTTTTTTTCTTTTAGTGTTTTTTTTGCCCTGTACGGAAGATGTACCTACTTGTGGAGATAGTTGTGACAAAGTTCTTGAATGTGGAATCCATAGGTGTTCGCAGCGTTGTCATCGAGGTCCCTGTGAAATTTGTAGACAGGTTAGTTTTAATCTCTTCCAGCATGTGGCTTTTAAATACTTTGTAACTCTAATAAAGGTTTTTTGCCTCCTAAGAATCTGGCATATCTGTCACTAAAAGCACCCATCTAAGACAAGATTCTTGGGGTAAATGTGTTCAGAAAAATGCATTACACCCTGTCTTGACCTAACCAGTTTCTAAAGGCCATGTTAAAGGCAAGTTTGAACTGGTAGTTGAGCAAACTTAACTGGAAGTCCCTGTGTGGGTAATGTACATCGTCCACCATATGAAAAGGAATATAGGCTACTAACATTGCTAAAGTGATGCTGAGAACTTTTTTAGGCCAAAATTTTAAAATATGTGGGTGGCGAAAAGGCTTTATTTTTTGTAAGTTTCCAGTATTGAATTCTTTTTTTAGGCATTCCCTGGGAGTGTTAACCCAAATAAAATTTTTCCCAAGATATGAGAATGTAGAAGTCAAACTGACTTCTTATTTTAGTCCAAGCTGAGTTAAATGTGAAAAACGAGCTGCATAAAAGACACAAGTTAATAAAATGAATTTTTTTTAAAACTAGCTATTCGTAATAGTAAAGTTTTAATTAACATGACCGAGAGGAAGGACTGTCTAGTGGTTAGGGCATTGGCTTGAGTACTAGGGACCCAGGTTCAGTTCCCTGCTCCACCACTGACTTTGTGCAAGTCACTTAGTCTGTCTGCCTCAATTTCCTATCTGTAAATTGTGAATAATAGTATTACCCTGGAGGCTTGTGAGGATGAATACATGAAAAGATTGTGAGGTGCTCAGATACTATAGTAATGGAGGCTATATAAGTACCTAAGATGGATGTATGTTGTCTCTTTTATTTTTGGCACAACCTGGAGATCTGTGGTTCCGTTTAGAATTCTAGTGATAAGTTGGCTTGAAAACACTTTATGGCAATTTGGAAGGAGGTTTCCCTCCAACTTGCCATTGAAGGCATGCCTTCCCAACAACTGTACTGTCTATGATAAGGCTAATTGGACATGGCTCACTCAGAGCCACTTGATGTTACTTCTGGTCTAGCAGAAGCACATGAGTTGAGGGCATTCCAAGGGACTAATTTACCCTCCCTTGATGTGTGTGTGTGTGCAGCACTACAGCTCAGAGAGCATGGAAGTGATTTGTGTATTGAGCTCAGTGCCATAGTTCTGTGCATGGCATTTTGCTGCAACTAGAGACCATAAGGCCCACATTGTGGTTTTCAAAGAATATTCAGTTCTGCCTCTTAGTCATAGATGATTATGTTGAATTGCATTCCTTGAATTAAGCTTAAAAGTCGTGGCATCGGGAAAGAATCTGTTGGGACTATATCCTCTGTTTGGGTGCTGGGGTCTTTCACTCTGTCCTTTTATGTATGGAATGCTCTCTCAATTGATCTTCAATTGATCTACTCCCCATCCTCTTTCCATTATCGCCTTCAGATAAACTCAGCTACAATGCCTGTGGGATACTAGCTAATGTATGGTAGTTGGAAAGAGGGTCAGATAAGCTTGTTTATTTAACTTATACATAAACTGTGTATATTTGTATCCCCTTTGCTCACGTCTTTGAGTCATTTGTCTTTTTGGGTTGTAAGCTGAGCAGAGACAGTGTCCTTATATGTTTCTATGGTGCCTAACATAATGCAGTCTCTGGGTGATACTGTAATAAAATTAGTCAGTTTGCCTTATGGTTCTTAGTAGAAAACTCTTTTTAGCTTCCAACTATAATGTCGTCATTTTCTCCCCTTCCCCCCCACCCCAGGAAGTTGAAAAGCAGTGTCGTTGTGGAAAGCATACTAAACGCATGCCGTGTCATAAACCGTATCTGTGTGAGACAAAGTGTACTAAAATTCGTGATTGCCAGAAGCACCAATGTAAGAGAAAGGTGAGTGTTAAAATGTGTATTAACAGTACACTTACACAGCAATCATTAAAGTTCTAAATGTGGCTCTCTTTCAGTTTTTGGTCCAATTTTATATTGTTGTACAAATGTAGCATTGCATCAACATACCTTTGTTTTACATTTGGAAGGCTTTCTTTCAACTGTAAGGGCTAGCTAATTAATAAATAAAAGCTCAATCTGCAGCATAGGGTAGTTTCTGTGGCAAATTCCAAAACCGAAGAACACAGGTTGCTTTAGCTATGCTGCTGGGAATATATTTTGATATTAACTATCTCCGTTTTTCTGAAATAACTTTCCCCTTCTATTTCAGCATATGTTTTTGAAGGTTTAAATTGACGGTAAAGTTGTTCAAAAGTCTCAGAACATCTATAGCCTTTGCAAAAAGTTTCTCTTGTTGACCTGAGGGGCTAATTTGTTGGCAAGTTGTCTTTAGAGGGTACCTAGTAGATTTTTGCAGCTTACTCAGCTTTAAGGGAGCTAGTCGCCAAGTAGATCAGCTTTTGCTTTCATTGGGACTTCAGTGCCTAAACTACCTTTTGTGACTTAGAAAATCTTCATCTAAATGTTAATAGAAATAATATCCTTCCCACCTCCCCCACAAGCCTCTTTGCATATTAAAGAACAGGGTAGCAGCCTATCTAAACCTCAACCCAGCTGTATTCCTTTTGTTAACATAAAGGAAGAGCTCATGTCTGAAAAGAATGAGGGGCGTGTGTGTAGTGAAAGTGTACAGCATACTTAATGATTTTTCTTTTGTAGCGTATCTCTCGGCTCTTCTGTAACATGTTAGTAGGTACAGAATGTGTACCTAGCCCACCAATATTAAAATCTATAAGAACACCAGCAGTGCTGGTGTTATAGATTTTAATATTGGTGGGTAAAATACACATTTAGTAATGAAATGGTCAGAGATCATTCAGAGAATTTTATTTGTTTACAATTTTAGTGTGGTTTAGGTATTACGAAGTTTCACAATGGAAAAAATCTACAGTATGAGTTGAATAGTATGCTCATGTGGCGGCATTACCACAAAAATTTGCTGTAGAAGTTTTAGTCTGTGCTCAACTCTGAAATAATTTCATATCTAGTAAACTTAAACATGAAAACTCCCAAATATAATCATTGTTGCAGTTGGAGTACACTTATACATCAGATCATCCATTAGAGAGATTCATAGCTCCTGACATTTTGTGTTCAGGGTATGCGGGTGCGGCACTAAGCGGCTGGGGTACTAGAATTTGATTATAAAAATCAGTTTAGGCAGTCCGTTTCTCAAAATTCTCCTTTCTTATATTTGCTATATGTAGATCCATGAGGCCAAATTAAATATGCATAGAAGCATAATTTCCAGTTTTGTATGTAGAGAGAGCACTAATAGTCGGTCAAGAGGCTCCAAGTTGCTTTTTGCTTGATTGCTTGCTTCATTATTATAACTAAAACTCCCAATGTTCCTCTGTATGCCAAGGCAAACACCTCAGCCCAAATGGGAACTGACTCTTTTTAAAGATTTGACTGCTGCAAATAAGTGTAACTCTACCCCCATTGTATCATTCATATTTGGAAAGAGCAACATTCAGAAGTGGAACCTGAGGAAAGCTGTAAGGGGTCTGAAATTGTATCTTTTCCTGTTCATTATTTGTTCTTTGTCATCCTTAAGAATGTCCTTGAATGCAGTAAGGGAGCCATAGGATATTAGAGAGGAGAAGAAGCAGTCTTTATTTTTTTCCCTTTTTTGGTAGCTTGCCTATCAGATGTCCTCAGAAATCTCAGTGACCCAACCAGTCATTTTTAACGAAAATGACCAGATTGACTATATGTTTTTGAGTTGTATGGGTGAATTTCTGGCTTGATTTTGGTTTATGGGTTTCTTTTCAGCAGTCTTAGTAGTAGTATTGTAGTATCCAGAATCTGTGAGGTTTTAGACAAACATAGGAAGGTGGAGTTTCTGACTCTGAGTCTACAAGCTGGTGTTTGTGTTGTTTTTTATTTCAAGCACACTTATTTTAAAGATGGTCTGCTGAGCAAAATTACTGTCTGCACTGCTATTTTATGCTATACAAAGGCTGCCTCAGACACTTCAAAACTTTTTTCTAACACTTGAAATATCAGGGGTTAATTCCTCTTTTTATTGAGGGACCGGAATAATGTCACACAAAGTTGTCATCTGAGCTGCAGCCTTCCCCTTCCTTCATTCTCCCAACGAAGAGGAGATGAGATGCTGAGTCTTTACTTCTAATGTAAAAGACAAACAACCTTCATTCCTCAAAGTAAAAGAAAAATTTTAAGATTATCTATATGCATCATAAATGACGAAGGTACAGACATTTTTCAGCTCTGCAGTTCAGTTTTAAAAACTAGACTAGACAAAGCACAAGTAAATGTATTGTAAGGAGCAATCTTGAATTTTCAGTGGGGTAGACTAGGTGACCTAGTAATTCTCTTCTTTCTCTAAAGACGAAGAACAAGAAATGTTGTAGTTAGCAGGGAGTTCCAGTTCCTTTGGGCCCTTTTCCTACCTTTGACTAGTTATCCTCTAAATGTTAAAAGTAAATATTTCAGAAATAGAAGAGGTATTTTAGTATTGACATTTTTTAAGATGATGTGGGTGGGAGAACATGGAACAGCTAATGTGTACCAATTACACATTTGGGTATTTGAGCCCAATTAAAAAGAGATCCGTCAGGCAAAATTTGAAAATCTTTTTCATTTGAGTTACTTTTTAAAAATTTGGATTTGTCACACTGAGGTAAAGATAACTGGTTTTTAGTTTTGACTAAAAGAAAAGGAGGACTTGTGGCACCTTAGAGACTAACCAATTTATTTGAGCATGAGCTTTCGTGAGCTACAGCTCACTTCATTGGATGCATTCTGCAGTTTCCACGGTATGCATCCGATGAAGTGAGCTGTAGCTCACGAAAGCTCATGCTCAAATAAATTGGTTAGTCTCTAAGGTGCCACAAGTACTCCTTTTCTTTTTGCGAATACAGACTAACACGGCTGTTACTCTGAAACCTCTTAGTTTTGACTGGCACACTCTTGAAGCATTTTAAAAATTTCGGTACAGTGAAGAGAACAAAGAGTTGCCATTTTTCAGCTGAACAAAAAAAAAAAGCCCAAGTTCCTTTTGCTAATCCCTATCCGTTCTTTCTTCAGTTCTTTCACAGGGGGAGCGATTTCTGTCTCCTACCCTGGAGTCCATTCACTTGTTCTGCTTGATACATGTGTACTGGGCAGAACGGATAGTATTACACACTTGAGAATAAGCACAGTGAATGGACCACAAATCCCACAGGAGTGTAAGCAGTATTCCCATGCTGCAGGCACAGAGATGGTGGAAAAACAGATCTTGGAGAGTGCTGCGGGAGACCCAGGCTAATGACAATCAATCACACAAACTGTGCAGTAATTAAGTCTAAAATGACTTCACAAGTCAGCCATGTGCAAAAGTATTCTAGATATTCATCTTAATAGGTGTGTGGGCTTTTTTTACTAGAAGATCTGTATCTTGCTAATGTATTGAAATGACATTAGAAAGTCATTTGAAAGTGTCATCTTTTATTACAAGCGCTCAGTTTCTGTACTTCTACTGTCTCTCATATGAATGGCATTGTAAGAAGATGTCATGTTGGAAATTATAAAATAGCCAGTTCCGTGGAAAGTTTTTTTGTTTTTTTTTATTTTATAGTGTTGTTCTGGAAACTGTCCACCTTGTGATCAACTCTGCGGACGGACTTTAGGGTGTAGAAATCACAAATGTCCTTCAGTTTGCCACAGAGGTAAGACTATGTTGAAAAATTCCTGTTGTATTGATGCCTTTTTGTTGGAATATTGTTTCTGTTGGCACTAGAATGGGTTTTTTCCAACCATGCTGCCTGGAAGAATTGTCTTCCTTTCCTGGATGTCTGTCTGCCTCTTTGGGTAGGGATAAGTAAGGAACTGGTATTTGGATCTTCTCATTTTGCACAATGACAGCCAAGTTTCAGGGTTTCTTACCTGGTAACTTTTGTTTGACAAAGTTCCACTGAGAGGGAATACCTATCGTAATAACTGTTTTGGTCTTTGAAAGAAAAACTAACCTACAAAAGTAACTGTTTATTGAATATGCAATGTGTGAGGCCTAGTTATATCTACATATTGTTCATGTGGTCATGTTTGGTGGTTTCTGAAACACAATATGCAGTGGTTTTCAACCTTTTGGGGCTCATGAGCCATTTGTAAATGTTTATGGCCTGTTGAGAACCAGTAAATAGTCTGGGGGTGGTTTTGGTCGGATCCTGCCCTCTAGTGGGGGTTGGGTCCTGCCTGGCACTCACTCTACAATGGCAGATCCTATGGCTCCTGTGCTGTGGGGCTGGCTGGGTGTGGCTCTCTGCTCCAGGCATTGCAAACTCCAGGATTGCAGTGCTTCTCGGGTCTGGCCCTGTCCTCCTGGCTGGACTTGTGAGAGTGGAATTGTGATCTGGCTCATAGGGTTGCGGTCCTACTCATTAAAATTTGGCCTACCTGGACTCCTGTCGTCATGACAAGTGGGCTAAATGAGTGTGGCGCTTGGATTCCCATAGATTTGTGATGCCGGGAGCAGGGAGGCAAGTCCAGCTAGTCCCATGGTAAAGGAGCTGCCACATGATCCTTTGAAACATTCTGGTGACCCCATTTTGGTTCTTGACCCATAGGTTGAGAAATCCTATGCTAGAGGGCTCCAATTTTTTATTTTTATTTTTTTTATTTTGATAGAAGATGAGTGTGTTTGGTATTTTGCCGGTTGAAAAAATAAAAACTAGTTACTAAACACATGACAAAGGAACCTAAGAAAAGTTCCCTCCAGCAGCCCCAGATCCCAGTTACAAAGGAACATGAGATTGGCCACACTGGGTCAGACCAATGGTCCATCCAGCCCAGCATCCTCCCTTCCAGCAGTGGCTGGTGCCAGATGCTTCAAAGGGAATGAACAGAACAGGGCTATTTATTGAGTGATCCATCCACTGTTATCCACTCTCAGCTTCTGGCAGTCAAAGGTGTAGGCTTGGTCTACGCTACATACTTACTCCAGTGTAACTACATCGCTCAGGGGTGGGAAAAATCCACAACCCTCAGTGATACTGACCTTAACCCTGCATGTAGACAGCCCTATGTTGACAGGAGAATTTCTCTTTCCAGTATAGCTACTGCCTCTTGTGGAGGTTGACTTATTAAGCAGATGGGAAATCTGTCTCCTGTCAGCATGGGGCGTCTTCACCAGACACACCACCACTACAGCAGCGCCAATGTAAAGTTGTAGTGTAGACCTGCCCTTCGAGACACCCAGAGCATGGAATTGTGTCCCTGACTATCCTGGCTAATGCTATTGATGGATCTATCCTCCATGAACTTATCCAATTCTTTTTTGAATGCAGTTACCCTTTTGACCTTCACAACATCCCCTGGCAACAAGATCCACAGGTTGACTGTACGTTGTGTAAAGAAGTACAGTAACTCCTCGTTTAACATTGTAGTTATGGTCCTGAAAAATGCGACTTTAAGCAAAATGATGTTAAGCGAATCCAATTTCCCCATAAGAATTAATGTAAATAAGGGAGGTTAAGTTCCAGGGAATTTTTTTTCACAAGACAAGACTACACACACACAGTATAAGTTTTAAACAAACAATTTAATACTGGTACACCGCAATGATTGTGAACCTTGGTTGAGGTGGTGAAGTCAGAGGGTTGGATATTTCCCAGGGGATGCTTTACTGCTAAATGATGAACTAGCAGTTGGCTGAGCCCTCAAGGGTTAACTCGTTGTTAATGTAGCCTCACACTCTACAAGGCAGCACGAGCTCAGGGGTTTGAGCATTGGCCTGCTAAACCCAAGGTTGTGAGTTCAATCCTTGAGGGGGCCATTTGGGATCTGGGGCAAAAATTGGGGATTGGTCCTGCTTTAAGCAGGGGGTTGGACTAGATGACCTCCTGAGGTCACTTCCAACCCTGGTATTCTATAATTCTATGAATGGAGAGAGGGGAGACAGCATGGCAGACAGACACACACCGTGTGTATGTCTGTGTGAGAGAGAGAGAAATGTGCATTGCTCCTTTGAGGGTATGTCTACACTATGAAATTAGATCGATCTTATAGAAGTAGATTTTTAGAAATCTATTTTATACAGTTGATTGCATATGTCCACACTAAGCGCATTAAGTCGGCAAAGTGCATCCTCACTACCGTGGCTAGCGTCAACTTTCGGAGTGTTGCACTGTGGGTAGCTGTGCCACAGTTCCCTCAGTCTCCGCTGCCCATTGGAATTCTGGGTTGAGCTCCCAATGCCTGATGAGGCAAAAAGATTGTCGCAGGTGGTTTTGGGTATGTGTCATCAGTCGCCCCTCCCTCCATGAAAGCAACAGCAGACCATCGTTTCGCGCCTTTTTTCCACACAGACGCTGTACTGCTGTCAGCAGACAGTGCAGTAGGACTGCTAACCGTCGTCATCCACAGCTTCCACTGCAACTCTGCTCTACTGGTGCCATGAATCCACCTCCCAGGTCCTCTTGTCGTTCTGTATAAATATCTATACTTGTGGCATCCGTCGTCATCACCGCTTCCGCTGCAGCTCTGCTCTCCTGCAGACGCAATACCAGAGCAAGCATGGAGCCCACTCAGCTCATCGCTGCTGTTATGAGCATTGCAAACACCTCGCACGTTATCCTGCAGTATGTGCAAAAGCAGGTGAGGAGGCGACGACCGCACGATCACGATAGTGATGAGGACATGGACACAGACTTCTCTCAAAGCACAGGCCTTGGCAATTTGGACATCATGGTGGTAATGGGGCAGGTTCATGCTGTGGAACGCTGATTCTGGGCCTGGGAAACAAGCACAGACTGGTGGGACCACATAGTGTTGCAGGTCTGGGATGATTCCCAGTGGCTGCGAAACTTTCGCATGCGTAAGGGCACTTCCATGGAACTTTGACTTGCTTTCCCCTGCCCTGAAGCGCAAGAATACCAAGATGAGAGCAGCCCTCACAGTTGAGAAGCAAGTGGCGATAGCCCTGTGGAAGCTTGCAACGCCAGACAGCTACCAGTCAGTCGGGAATCAATTTGGAGTGGGCAAATCTACTGTGGGGGCTGCTATGATCCAAGTAGCCAGTGCAGTCACTGAGCTGCTGCTATCAAGGGTAGTGACTCTGGGAAATGTGCAGGTCATAGTGGATGGCTTTGCTGCAATGGGGTTCCCAAATTCTGGTGGGGCGATAGATGGAACGCATATCCCTATCTTGGGACCGGACCACCTTGGCAGCCAGTACATAAACGGCAAGGGGTACTTTTCAATGGTGCTGCATGCACTGATGGATCACAAGGGACGTTTCACCTATATCAATGTGGGATGGCCGGGAAAGGAGCATGGCGCTCGCATCTTCAGGAACTCTGGTCTGTTTGAACAGCTGCAGGAAGGAACTTACTTCCCAGACCAGAAAATTATTGTTGGGGATGTTGAAATGCCTATAGTTATTCTTGGGGACCCAGCCTACCCCTTAATGCCTTGGCTCATGAAGCCATACACAGGCACCCTGGACTGAAGTAAGGAGCAGTTCAACTATAGGCTGAGCAAGTGCAGAATGGTGGTAGAATGTGCATTTGGATGTTTAAAAGCTCGCTGGTGCAGTTTACTGACTAGGTTAAACCTCAGCGAAACCAATATTCCCATTGTTACTGCTGTGTGCTTCACAATATCTGTGAGAGTAAGGGGGAGAGATTTATAGCAGGGTGGGAGGTTGAGGAAGATGGCCTGGCGGTCCATTACACACAGCCAGACACTAGGGTGATTAGAAGAGCATAGCTGGGCGCCCTGCGCATCAGAGAAACTTTGAAAACTTTTCATGACTGGCCAGGCTACGGTGTGACAATTCTGTTTTGTTTCTCCTTGATGAAAACCCACCCCCTTGGTTCACTCTACTTCCCTGTAAGCCAACCGACCTCCCCCCATTGATCACCGCTTTCAGAGGCAATAAAGTCATTATTGTTTCAAAATCATGCATTCGTTATTAATTCATCACACAAATAGGGGGAAAACTTGCAAGGTAGCCTGGGAGGGGTGCGTGAGGAGGGAAGCACTGGGTGGGGTGGTGGATGAGGGGAGGTGGGAAGGACAACGCCACACTACAGTTCAAAACTTATTGAATGCTAGCCTTCTGTTGCTTGGGTAATCCTCTGGGGTGGAGTGGCTGGGTGTCCGTAGCACCTTCTTCCCCCCCCATGTTCTTGGGCGTTTGGCTGAGGAGGATATGGAACTTGGAGAGGAGGGCAGGCAGTTATACAGGGGCTGCAGCGGCGGTCTGTGCTCCTGCTGCCTTTCCTGCAGCTCCACCAGATGCCTGAGCATGTCACTTTGCTCCCCCATTAGCCTCAGCATTGCAACCTGTCTCCTCTCATTGCGCTCCTCCCTCCTCTCATCGCGTTCATTTAACGCTTTCCTGGACTCTGCCTCCACTCATTCTGCTGAGCTCTTTCAGTGTGGGAGAACTGCATGAGCTCTGAGAACATTTCATTGCGAGTGCATTTTTTTCACATTCTAATCTGCGCTAGCCTCTGGGACGGAGATTACAGGGGGAGCGTAGAAATATTTGCAGCTGTGGGAGGAAAAAGGGGAGTAATATTTAAAAAGATACATTTTAGAGAACAAAGAAAAGACTATTTCACACTGAATCAAGCGATTCACATTACATAGCACATGTGCTTTTGGTACAAGGTCGCATATTGCCTCTTACATTGAGTGCCTGTTGGTTTGGTGTGAGACATCA